CACACACACACACACACACATATATATATATATATATATATATATATATATATACATACATACATACATACATATATATGTGGTATTTATCAACTTTTTATAAAGTAATTCAACACGATGCAACTGTTGCAATTTGTATCTATTGAGATTTAAATACGAATTTACTTAAACAATATCGAGCTGAAATACGAATTGCAAGAGTTGCGTCGAGCTGGATTACTTTTTAAAAATGGGCAAAAACATGTAGCCTTACGTTTGTTTTAACGAAAACCTCGTTCCGAAATATATAAATAAATAAATGTATAAATAAATTTATCTAAATATATATTTATTTACTTGATTAATACTGTCAGAAATGCAATTATAGATGAAAATCACAGCATGTTCCGCGTTAGTTAGCTTCCTGTTTCATTTTTCTAGATCATAAACCTTTGTCAAGTTTTCTTAGTTCAAAACCAAAATTTTTATTTATTTTAAGCATGATAGAACATTTAAGTATGATAGAACAAAAAAGCTTTAACATGAATCTTTTATATCCATTATTAGTGAGTAATTTAGTGACTCTATCTAGTTCTGTTTTTCTGCTTCGTACCTCAGACGAGTGCGTTTAAGCTCGGTTTACAAAAGCAGAGATCGTGCTATCTATATATGTTTGACAACATTCACTATTTCCATTTGTTTGTTTCGTTTGTGTATACTGAAGTTTTAAATTTATTTTGTTTTAGTACGTCTAGGAATGGTAGTTTATTGTCAGTTGTTTTTTCATTTGTAAACTTTAATTTTGATAAATTTAGTCGTAGCAGACGTTTTTTTATTTGATCATCTTCATCGTATGTAACGAAAGTATCATCAACGTATCGGCAGTATATATTAGGTTTTAGCTCTGGTTTTTCTTTAAATAACATTTCTTCCATATGTCCAACGTAGAAGTTTGCGAAGAGTACTCCCAATGGAGAGCCCATTGCTACACCGTCTATTTGCTGAAATAGTGTGTTACCCGGGCCAACAAAAGGCACTTCGGCTGTACACATTCTTAGCAGCGTAACAAATTCATCTTTTGGAATTGGTAGTGGTGAATGACTGGAATTGTATATTCTATTACTATTATGTTAATTGTGTCCTCTACAGAAACATTTATAAAGTGACTTCAAAGATGTTCTTTTGGTGTTAATGGATGATTTTGTTGTAGACAATAAGTCTATGAAACCTCTTCTTGATTTTAGGTTGTAGTTATTAGGGGTGAGGGTGTAATTGTTTTGTTGAGCATTTTTGCAATGTGATCGCAAATCTTTTGCTAATTATTGGTCGTAGAGTGTTGTTAGCCTTATGTGTCTTGACCGTACCGTAGTCATATCCTGGTTCATATTCGCTCGTGAGTATGGGTTTTTTTCATCTGTTTCTTCATTAATTTTTCTAAGGGTGTCGTTCAATCTTGTCTTAAGTTTAGCACTTGGATCACTACTAATCTTAATGAATTTATTAGTGTCAACAAAAATGCTATTCAGTTTGTCGTTGTAGTCATTTCTATCTATAATAACATACATTGGGGTTTTGTCAGCTTTTCGGATAATAATGCTGTTGTTATTTTTTAAAGTTGCAGCTGCATCGATCAATTCCTTTTTGAAAATTTTGCTTTTGAAATTGCCTCTCAACTTTTTACTCTCAGCTCTAAAGTCGTTTACAATGCATGTGTTGATTGTTATTAGTTTTTGGTTTTCTAATTTAATTAAATCATCCATAAATTTTTCAATTTCAATTTCATTTTAAAGATTCTTAGGTTTCTTCATGATGAAAAACAATTGCACTAGTAAGCTAGATTCGATAATGGATATTAACCTTCTAATGAAATTGTTCAAATGTAATATTGGTGAGTGTGGGCACCATAATTCCGAATATATTGTAATGACGACAACCAAGTTATCGAGAAGACTCACGATGCCGTACACACTGGCGCTATAAAGAATCACATGAACGAGAAGCACAAAACTAAGGTGGCTGGGCACCAAAGACATCCTATAATAAATAATCAACAACGTGCAATTGTAATCCTTCCCACAAATCAATTTAGAAACATAGGAATCATCGATAATGATGACACGTAAAAGTGTCATATTGCACAGAGTTTAAGATCGTAATAACTAATTAAATCACCGTTAAGTGTTTACATTAAACAAACAATAAATTAACATTGTAGAGACACAGTATATATATATATATATATATATATATACATATATATATATATATATATATATATATATATATATATATATACCTGAGCATTTGGCCATATACACAACGTATCAATTCGAAAACCGAAGACGGTATAGGAATACCGAAAAATGCTTATATGTTCTATCATGCTTAAAATAAATAAAAATTTTGGTTTTGAACCCAAGAAACTTGGCAATGATTTATGATCTACCGTTAGAAAAATCGAAAAATTAAATTGGAAGCTAACTAAAGCCGAACATGCTGTGATTTTCATCAATAATTGCATATATATATATATATATATATATAATATATAATATATATATGTATACAGTGTGTGTGTGTGTGTAAGAATAATAAGATCGGCAATCATGATATTGAACTTGTTATGTTTGGATTATTTCAATACACGTCATGTCGTACGCGAGAGAGTTGACGTTATATTTTGGAGAAATATTCAAATAGATATTCCTATGAAGTGCTCTTGTTCGTGACGGCATCGTTGTCTCATTCGTTCCTTCCATGCTGGCACATTTAACATTATTCCAGTTATTTGTGTACAAGCCATCCTTTTGAATAACCGTTTTGAGATTTATGCTGGCATGGCTATTGCCTTAATTATTATTATTGTTGTTGTTATATAATTAATATTATTATTCATTATTATTTTGTTTGAAATAATTATTACAATAGCAATAACAAAAATGGTAATAAAAAATGGTCCATAAAGAATTAATTGCAACATTAACCACCAGTCCATTCCATTTGCTATTATTGAAAGTTAACATCTTTTAAAAATTCACCAAGAAATTTCAAACTTTCACTATTCTTTTTACAATTATTTAAATTGTCCAAATATTGAACTATTAAATTCTGTGATATTGTTTATATATATATAAATATATATATGTGTGTGTGTGTGTGTGTGTGTGTGTGTGTGTGTGTGTGTGTGTGTGTGTGTGTGCGTGTATGTGTGTACTTGTAAAAGACCATAATTAAAGCAGTATTTTATGAAATCTACCGCTAAAAATTCTGTAGATTTCATAAATTACTGCACACACACACACAAATATATATATATATATGTATATATATATGCATATATATATGTATAAATGTATATATATATGTATATATTTATATATATATACACATATATATATAAAATTTGTGTATTAATTTATTTGTGTGAACAGTAAGTTGGAATTTTGTTCAATAAACTAATTTTATCAAATATTCTTCGCTGTTTTGTGTGTGTGTGTGTGTGTGTGTGTGTGTGTGTGTGTGTGTGTGTGTGTGTGTGTGTGTGTGTAAGTGTAAGAATTCTATTTACTCCTGCCATTTGACCCGTGCTTATTTTAATTGTAACAAATTAATGAAAAATATAAACGTTGTTACCGCCGCAGTTAACTCGCTCTTCTTTTATCTAATAAAAATAAACCAATGAAATATGTAAGCCTCGTAAAATAAGGGGTTTATTGTAACTCACCGTTTCCAAATTTTTTATTCGATGCAATAATGCATGCAAAATTATAAAAGAGAATCATCATTTCTCATAACCTATACATAAAATCAAGCTAAGGATGGCGCCCTCGTGTTACAAATGTTATTATTAATAACTTTTCTTTCACTAGTCAACTATATGCTGGTGATTCTTGTATTTATACTTCTTTTCTTCTATCTAATCTCAATAGTGTTCTTTATAATCTATCTCTGTGTCTTTCTTCAATTATTGTCTGGTCTGACTTTGTGTCTTAAACTTAATCTTTCTAAATTTGAATTTATATGTTTTAATAAATCTAAACACTCTATTACTGTTCCTTTCCTTCTATCAGGCTTACCTGATTCTAAAACTCATGATGTTTCTCACACATTTCATAGTTTAGGCTTTATCTTTGATTCTAGCATGTCTCTTTCTTCTCAGATTAAAAGTGTTGCTAGAAGTTCTTACTTTCATCTACATAGAATGAAAAAAACTTGCTTTTTCTTGACGATCCTACTCTTCCCCTTCTTGTTCCCTGTAACTCGCTCTACTATGATCTTCCTGATTCTACACTCTATCCTTTAAGAAAAGCTTTTAACTCAGCTTTTAACTAGTTTCTTGTGACCCTTTTTTTCTCATATGTTTCCATATCTTGTTCTCCTGCACTGGCTAATTATAAAATATAGAACAATTTTTAAAATTTGCACATTTATGTATAAGTCTCAATCTAAATTATTTCCTAAGTACTTATCAGATATATTAATTGAACCTAAATGCCCTGGTTTACGATCGTCTTCTTCTTAACTCGTGTTAAACACTCTTTTGCTAAATCTGCTTTTCCTATTCTCTGGAACTTTCTACGTACTTCTCTGACCACTTCTCCATCACTTACGAAGTTCAGAGCGGATCTCAACACCAATCTGTTTGCAAAATTCATTGAGGAGCGCTGTTGAACATCGCGGAAATAGCGCTTTACAATCTAATTGATTGATTGATATGAATAATATTTTTGGCATTGCAAACTCAATAATTTCCAAACTGGGCCATTTGTTTGAATAAACGAGTGTTGTAGTCCGAAAAATATAAAATTATATGCAGTTAAAACCGAGGTCGCAATTTCTTCCTTGAGATAACCTGGCAAGTGTATGGTATTAAAAGTAATATGATGGATGCAGACGTGTGATGCGAATAATTAAAATTTTGGTTAAGTTTACATTTAGTCAATCGCCATTTACAACCACGAATTTTCATATTTTCATTTACGTGTCATTTCCGTTGCGCAGGGATATTTCATTTCCGAAAAATGAAATTCAGTTTCAATATTGAAACTGTTTCAACAGTTTTTTTTACTTTAATTTTAGTTTTCGAGTATGTTGCTGGTTATTACATCACCATTGATGCACATGCAGAAGAATGCTACTTTGATCGCGTATCATCTGGTACAAAACTCAGTCTGATGTTTGAAGTTGCTGAAGGAGGGTTCTTGGACATTGATGTGCACGTACGTATGTTTGTTTTTTTTTTTGTTTGTTTGTCGTCTTTTTTAGTTTGTCAAAATCAAGGATCTCTAACTTTGGGAAAGCTAGCAAATGTTCATCAGCTAGTTCAGTTTTATTTTAAATTTAAGCTTATTTTAGAAAAATGAAAAATATAATAAATTAAATATTTTTATGAAATAATAATTTTAGTTTAAAATGAAATTTAGTATTAATTGTGAGTTGATTAGTGTCAAGGTTAGGTTAGTTAGGGAATGTTTGTTGACTAGTTTAGCACTAGCAGTTTAGACAAGTGATCTCTAGCCTTATTATTCTAAAACTTCAATTTTAAAATGCGTTTTCTTTTCCAAACGCAAATGGTTTCTAATTTTTTTCATGTTTTTAAAAATCATTTTTTTGCCAGTATACCTGATTAAAAGAAGACAACTTAGCTTGAGTCCTTAGAGATAGATAGTTTTTAATAGATAGAGATAGATATATTTATAAATATAGGGTGGGTATGTTATAATTTGTATGTAGTATAATCATAGTGTATTAGTGTTTTGAATCTTTTTTTTTAGTTAGTAAAAGTTGCCACAATTCTTTTAGTTTAATTGATTTAATGAGTACTTTACATTTATTTTTTGATTTTTTTTTCTTCCAGTTGCTAAATCTTTGTTCTTTGCGAGTTAACATCAAATCATTTAATGTTTAATTAACGATAATTGAATTGATAAAAAAGTAAGTGAACATAGTAAAGTTCTATCATGCACGTTATCTATGTTTAGATAACATTTTACAAGCTGAAACATTGATGTTTTTACTTCAAGATTCATTTATATCAGAGGTGATCTGCGATTCATCAGGCCATTTTATGTGGCACACAAACTTTATCTGTAAAACAGTTTCACCTTTTTACATCCCAAAACATTAATTTTTGTATTTTTTAGCATCTTAATTTCTAACTTTTTTATTTAAAACCAGGTTTTTTAAAAATTTTTTTAAAAAGTGTTGTTTTTTTTGTCATTCTACTACTTCTATTCTGTCTGAGCACATTTTAAAAGCTTTTTATTATTTTTTTTCAATTTTTGTGTCCACATGAACATTTCTTCAATAATATAAATAAGTATGAATGAAGCCTGGTCAATGCTGAATGATTACATTTTAAATGCTTTGATGGAAATAATCTGTTCTAAATTCAAGTATGAACATTTTCAACTAAGTGTAACTTGTAACTGAATGGATATTGAAAGATGCAGCTTTATTAAATTATATTGAAAGTTGATAGTTATTTTGGCAACTTACAGTTAAATAAGTAATCTAATTTACCAAATTTTTATAAATGACCCCCCAAACTGTTGTGTTCTCAATGTGCTCTTTAGAAAAAAAGTTTGCCCACCCCTGCTTCATATGATACATTATTGAACTTCAAATCAACACAACAATAATAATTTGTCACCATTTGTTGGTTCATTGCCATTTAAGTAATTGTCTTGCAGATAACTGGACCAGATGGGAAACAAATATATTCTGGTGAAAGGGAATCGAATGGTAAATTTACATTCGCAGCACACCAGGATGGTGATTACAAATACTGCTTCAGTAACAAAATGTCAACAATGACACCTAAAGTTGTCATGTTCACAATGGAAATAGGAGAAAAGGCAAAGGTGGATTCGGATGGGAATAAAGATACTGAGAGTGAATCAATTTTGAATCTATTTAAAAAAATTTTTAAATTTTATTTTGAATAATTTATTGATAAATTAATGTGTGTAAATTTGTTTTTTTTTAATTTATTAATGAACTAATAATTGTCAATTTATTTCATGCTCTTGAATCACTTACAATTATTTTTCATGTTGATTCAGCAACACAGAACAAATTGGAAGAAATGATAAGTGAACTGTCAAGCAAACTGTATGGAGTGAAACATGAGCAGGAGTACATGGAAGTGAGGGAAAGGATCCATAGAGCAAGTATGTCACTTCTTTATTCCTATAATAGCTTTCAGTTTCATTCACAGAGGTACCTACCATTTTTACATTGCTTTTCTAAACAAATTTTAGTTTGTCCTTCATTTGTATCATTATGATTTTATAAATGTTATTTCACTGAATTATTGTTTGTTGCTGTTGTGGCTCATCTGAAAGGGGGCCCTTGCCATGTGTTGGGTAGTGTGATTTGGTGAACAACAGAGATTGTATTTATCCAGTGTTAAATTGAGGTGGCTGTTGTGAAGTTGTTTGAAGTAGCCACATCAGAGTTGAGTCAGAGCAGTTCTGGTTTTGAAAGAAAGAGCCCACTCAATATTGCTGATGTGTGGAGGAGGGTTGTTGAGTATTGAGTTGAATTTTAATAAGTTGATAATATTGAGGACAGTAGATGCGATGGATTAGATCTAAGGATGGCTGTTGGTCTTTTTTGTGTGGGGTGAAAAGTGGGACTGTTTACTTTGTGGTTGAGATCAAGAGAGAGAAAGCAATTGTTGAAAAAGAAGCTCAGGTTTATTTATGATGTAGTTGTTGGGAGTGGTTGTGATTGGTTCTGTAAGTGGGCCAGAAGATTAGACCATGAAGTCATCTGTATAGCCAAGCCATTTGGGCGAGACAGAGTTAGGCTCGATGATAGTAGCAAGAGAAGTATTCAGAGCAGTAATGTTGGTTGGTGCTGCTCCGTAGGCAAAAATCCTGCTATGTAAAAGAATGGGTTTGGGTCCATCTGCATAGAAGGTTCGGTGCTGGGTGCATTCGGCTATTGATGTTTTGGTAAAATTTAACCTACTTACTGGTATAGATTTTGAATAAAATCACAGGAACACATTCGCAAGGTAATTTTCTTTTTAATGTCCAGGGTTATGTATATTTTTAGTATTCCGGTGAGGTAATAAAGATGCGGTGACGCCAATTACCATTAAAAAGCAAGCTAGTTAAATGGCAAAATGATTTATGCGGAATTATTAAATATCAAAGCAAAGCTGCTTTTACATGTTGAGCTATTGACAAAATCTTTATGCACAATCCTCTCAAGCACCTTGAATGTCATTCACCCCCCAATTCTCACATTTTCTAACTGTTGTAATGATCGTCTGAATTGATTTGTTTACAATTTATGGAATGGCTATTAAAAAATTTAATTTTTTTGTTCAACAGTAAATGACAGCACCAACTCCCGGGTAGTTCTGTGGTCATTTTTCGAGGCACTTGTCCTCGTTGCAATGACATTAGGACAAGTTTACTATCTTAAGAGATTTTTTGAAGTTAGAAGGGTCATTTAAAAAAACTGTAAATATGTATTTTTTTTTAGTTTTGTAGAGTTTATTTATTGTTTGGTAATGTTTGGTTTCATTGAAGATTTCATTTGAACGTAAATAAATTTAAAATTTTGAAGTAACGGGTAGAAAAGTGTTGCCACGTATACACTGAACGTATGTTTCTTTACCTTATTAATGCCATCGTAAAATCGTAACGTTGCGCCATATTGATTGATTTAAGTGTTTGTATGAAACCTAAAAGCATATTGGACAAAATGGACTCGTTCACCTTAAATTATTAATTTTCATTTTGTTTAAATTGTATAATTATATAAATTTTAATTTAAAATAGCTGTTAACGATCTATCCAAGTCTATAGTTTGATTTTTTAATTCTTCTAGTTTAAGAGTTTATTTTTGATAAAAAAAATGTCAAAATAACTGACCTAAAAAATATTTTTTATTTGGTTTTTCAATTGTTATATGTAATTCATAAAGGCTGTTGACAGTACAAGCTTGCAAAATCCATATTCTAAACAATATGCCTACATTAGTTTTATTTGAAAAATGTCGGATCGGAGCTCAACTCAACTTAAAAACTGCGTTGCCGTTAGTCCTGTAACGTTTTGTATTGGTTGTTCCCGGGCAGGATTAAACCTTCACCCTACTGTAGACAAAATATCAAATCCAGGCCATTTATTTTTGGCAACAAATTACTGCAAAGATAAAGTTAACGTTAAATGTCAACCACAGTTTAAATCGTTTGGCGTTTCGTCAATTGAATGGTTGTTTTTGTCAGTTCTACAAAGTACATAATTCGAATCACACATGTGCACTCTCCTCCCCATACTGAGTGAACGTAACGTACGCCGTCAAGTTACACACTTTATACAAGTGAAGAAAGGCATAATTGTGTGATAAGTGTGGATCCGGGTCCCTAAAAATTATGGGCACTAGACATTTTTCCTATTTGTCTTTTAGTTAATCCGGCCCTGATGTTTCCCCTCACAATTTTCGCTATTGTGTCCGCTCTTACCCGTTCTAGATTTTAGTTTTTGAACAAATTTTAAAATGCAATCTGTTAAATACCCATAAGCATTTTATTTTCATTCAGAGCAAATTTTTAAAAGTGGTCGATACATGGGTCGATATCATATTTATATAACACTTGTGAGCACATTAATCTCACTATAGTCATTCTTTCACACAAAAGATGTGCAGTATAAAATTTTTCTCATTGGAGATATTTCAATAACAAACAGAATTATTTTTATTGTCAACAAATGCAGAAAACTCTATTGCTATAAATAATAATGGAAAGGTGGGAGAGATTTATCAGGAATAAGATGTTTTGAAAATATCTAATTATGAAATATAAGTAAAATGTAAACTAAAAATACAGCAGCCTTAAAGTACAATAACATTAACGTATAAAGTCTATACAAAATATGCAGGATATGTTTTATGATAAAAAACTTTTTGACATCCTGGAAAAATGCAAAAAGTGTTTGCAAATCGTATGAACAATTTGAAAAAGATATCTGAAAAAATTAAACAATACAAGTGGCATAATAACATTGAACAAAGAAAGCCTGATAATAAAGAATAAAAGTTGTGTGTCAACAATGATTGTGGCAAGTTGGCTGGCTATTTAACATTTTTGCAAGTTTTACAGGCTAACGATTTTTCAGTCGTTTTTTTCTTTTTGAAAATATGTTTTTTTTATATATTTAACCATCTGTACCCAAAAGAGCCAACTTATTGCATATATGCATATGCAACCAGCTCTTGCTAAAACGTCAGGCTCTTTCGATGAAAGGTACATGATTAAGAAGTGTGAGCCTAAAACAAGTCTCATTATTGTAAATAATGTGAAAAATAAAAAATCGATCACAGCAATATTTTTGGCTACGTGTTTTGAATCATTTAGTTTGTTGTGCATATTCTGGGTTACATCTTTCTGAAAACTTAGTTTTTTATCGTTCTCTTTAGAAAGTTCTTTGTTGTTATTGTGGTCATTTACAAACGAATTATTCCTTTTTGTATAAACAACGCTAGACTTTTCATTTATGATGTCAAGATTGAGAATAAACCACCTAATTTGTAGTAAAGGATTTGTTATCTCAGCAAAGAATATAGTGGCAATGATTTCTGATCCATGAGCTTCTCTAAACAACGTTACCCAGAGACCAAGCATTGTGAGGCAGTGATGGAACAACATTACGAATCCTGTGTTAATACGTTTTAATAAATGAAACAGTTTTAAAACATGCTTTGATTAAAAGTACGTCATCGATGAAAAATAAAGTGAAATTTTAATAAAATGTACATTCAAATAGATCATTTAAAGAAAAAGACTACAAATAAAAGCGCTAATTTTTTATTTTTTTAATAAAACGTTTTATTACAACGGTACGTCTACCATATTTTTCATCATATTGTGTGATGTTTTCATTAAAAGGTTATAAGGAATATATTTGACACCGACCAACAAATTATCTGAAAAAGTTTTCATGTTTGAACATGATTATATGGTGGGTGGTCCAAAATTCTTAACAAGTTGTGTGCTATAATGTACATCTTAATAACTTAAACAGATCGAGCTGTTAATTTAGAAATGTATCTCAGCAAAATTATAATTTTGTTGTTAAACGTGACTTATGTGACACCGATGATATATTTAAATGGCTAGCTTTTAAGGTTACCAACCTTGATTCTGGTAATTGAATTTTCTACATTATCTATCGACCCGATAATTCCGATGACAACACATTTTTTGAGTATTTATTTTCATTAAAAGTAAAGTTTATAATAAATCTATTAACATCCTAGGAGACTTCAATATTGATATATTACATTATCTGATGAATACCTTAGCATAAAATCTTTATTTCGCAATCAACTGTCATCTTTTAATTCACTTTCTCTTATATTATCTGCCACAAGGGTGAGTGACTGAATTATTTGCCACTCTAGTTGGCAATATCTTTACAAATAACCAAAATGTTTTCTTCCTATCCACTATTTTATCTTATTTATGTGATCACTATCCTATTGGCGCCTGTTCAAAACTCTATGTTATTAATAGCTTAAAAAACAACAGTCTACTCCAGAAATCTCTTTCAGTAACTTAAACTTTTTCTGCAAAACTATGATTGGAATCACATCCAGTAATGGCGCCGACAACAGCTTTTTTGACTTTGTATCTATTATTAACTTTGCAATAAATAAATTTGCCTGTTACAGCAAAAAAATTCTTGCAATTTCAAACAGCCCTGGTTTTCCCAGTCTTCTTAAATCGGCAAAGTACAAAAACAGCCTATATAAAAAAAGTCCAACCCAACTACTCTTAACAACCTTATTTACACTCCCTACAAAAATCTATTTTCTAAACTATGATCTATATCTAATAAATCATGCATAGCCCATAAAATTTTTTCATTGCTCTAGCAATATAAAAAACTTTGACCCTTATTAATTTTAGTTTAAACTTCACCTAGAAATTTCTGGGCATAACTTTAAATGACAACTCTAATCACAGATAAAAAAAAAGTCATTGGCAAATTAATTAATCTCCATTTCACTTCTGCTGGCATTTCTCATTTATCTACTGCTAACGGCCAACACAAAATATTTCTCGGATCGCAATTGCTCATCAATAGCCTTCACTGAAGTTGATTATGCGAAATTACACAACTTTGTCGGCACCTTCAAAAACTCGCACTCCACCGGTCATGACAATTTATCTTATTTCATTCTTAAAAATCTCACCTTTTAATCATCTTATTAAACTCTCTTTAAAATCTTGTATGTTCCCCTCCATTTTGAAGACATCTGAAGTTATTCCGCACTTCAAGAAAGGATGTCAAATGAACTTTAACAACCTGGTTCGCTCATTTCGAATTTTTTTATACTAAAAAAATTTTTTCATGACCAAGTTATGTCAAAATATCAATGTGGTTTCCAGTTAGGCTCATCTACTGGACGCGCTGCTCTAGACTTAGCTTATCTAATTTTTTTAAATAATGACGGCACAATCATTGTTTTCAGGCTTAAGAACAGAATATTAACTCCCTAATTAATCAGATTAAGCCTGGATTGGAAAAAAACTTTCTCCTGTACAACATTGCATATATCTAATTATCTCCAATCAAAATCTCATGGAATTTTTTACAAACTTATGTTTAAACTTCTCATTTACATCAAAAATCTGCTTTGCTATTGACTTATCTCGCCTATCTATCCTTACCTAATTTACTGTGTCTTAATTCAATCAATCAATCAGTTTATAAAGCGTAATTTACTTTTAAAATTAGCTTGAGATTACAAATTATAGATTACTTTGCAATGATGTGTCCGATTACAGATCACATCATCAAACTTTTTAAAATTACAGATTACATCATAAGAATTTTATTTAATGAATGTCACATAGTTTTATGAATTATTGAATTATTAAATTGTAATTATTCATAAAATAATTAAAAAAATTGTATTTTTTTAAAATTTCATGAAATTTCAAACAAGTTTGAACCAGAAGCGACTTTGCTTATCCTGCTTCATAACATTCCTGAGCAGACCAACTTTTTAACATTACGTGAGCGATCTATCTAAAAAGCATACGACGTCAATGGATAAACTATTTCTTTTTGAATAAGTCGTTTTTTTAGTTTTTTAACTTTAAATTTTAAAAATCTTAGGTATTTTAAAAAATGTATTGTTGTTGTTGATTAAAGTAATCTAAAATAAAGTAATCTTGACACCTGTTTAGATTACAGATTACGCAAAAAATGAAATTTGATTACAGATTACTTTTATAAATGATGCGATTACAGATTCAAAAAAATGTAATCGATTACGTAATTGGATTACTTGTAATCCGATTACTATACAACTCTGGTTATATATTTCTACGTTAACCTGTCATGTGCATTCATTCACTCCTTTACACTGTCTTAAAACAACTTTGTTAACTTATTTCATTTACTATTCCACAATCTGCTGTCATTTATGCCCATTGCCCCATCATATCGTTAATTAACATGTATATGTATATATATATTATATATATATATATGTATATATATATTATATATATATATATATGAATATATATATATATATATATATGTGTGTGTGTGTGTGTGTGTGTGGATAAATTTTGAAGGAGGTTGCATGTTTATATCAATCTATCTATGCTATGTACTTATGGATACTGTAAGTCGGTGATAACTTATCAGTTCGATTCAATAAATAATATGTAAATATAAAAAATGAATCATCTGACAAAACAAACCTTCAGCTCTATGATACAGGCACCATGCAAAATCAAACAAAAAGTAACCCAATGAAAAAATGCACACAAATATCTGCAAATTAGTGCTTGAACCACCTTTGAGATGCAAATTTAAATTTATTTTTTAATCATTAAGTCTTGGATTATAGCTTAATTAAATTAAATTCTATTATTTTCAACCTTTTATTATATTTAATTAAAAGTACTTTTTAAAAATAAACATTCAGTAAACAAAATACAAGTAAATGAGAATTCAGAAAAATATTCTAGTTTTAAAATTGAACTAAATAAAAAAAAGATGAATTATTCAAATTTACATGCTAACCAAGACTCGAGTAAGGCCACGAACGATTAATGAAAATAGACCAAGCGGACGCAAGCACCACCACGACGGCATGCATCAACGTTACAACGCGACAGTGAAATTCGTTTTTCTTCAGCGGTTTAATCAAGTGGAAGTACTTGTTGTACGGAAGTGCATACGTGCAATTGTAAACGAACATCCACGATAGAAAGGAAAACGAAACGTAGCTTAATGTGGTGAATGTCGACATTCTACTGGTTTAAAATATTTCCAAACAAAAATTACGTTAAACAACTCGTTCACACCTTATTATTGTCTGTGATTGGCATACCTGCAAGATACCAAAAACACTTCAGATCGAAATAAATAAAATTAAGAGTAATGGTTGGGGCATGGTATATTAGTTTATGTTATTATTAGTTTATTATTAGCAAATAACGTTTGCTCATATTAGAGATACGCCGAATAACCAATCAATTGTGCATAAAGCGCTATTTTCGCGAGGTTCAACAGCGCTCCTCAACGAATTTAGCAAACAGATGGGTCTTGAGGTCCGATCTGAACTTCGTAAGTGATGAAGAAGTAGTCAGAGAAGGAGATAAAGAGATTTAAAGAAAAAGGACCAGAAAAAGCAAATGCAGATTTAGCAAGAGTGTTTAACATGAGTTAAGAAATGAGAACAAGAAAACAATCGTAAACCGGCGCGTTTAGGTTCAATTAATATATCTGATATGTACTTAGGAAATAATTTGTATTGAGACTTATACATAAATGTGCAAATTTTAAAAATTAATCTATATTTTATAGGTAGCCGGTGCAAGAGAACAAAATATGGAGATATATGAGAAAAGAAAGGGGCACAAGCAAGTAGACGAGCAGCTGAGTTAAAAGCTTTACTTAAAGGATAGAGTGTAGAATCATAGTGAAGCGAGTTACAGTAATCTTAGATAAAACTAAAAAAGTAACAAGAAGGGAAAGAGTAGGATCGTCAAGAAAAAGCAAGTTTCTTTCATTCTATGTAGATGAAAGAAAGAACTTCTAGCAACACTATTAATCTGAGAAGAAAGAGACATGCTAGAATCAAAGATAAAACCTTAACTACGAAACTTGTGAGAAACATCAAGAGTTTTAGAATCGGGTAAGCCTGATAGAAGAAAGAGTAATAGAGTGTTTAGATTTATTAAAACATATTAATTCAAATTTAGATGGATTAAGTTTAAGACACAAAGTCAAACCAGGCGATAATTGAAGAAAGACACAGAGATAGATTATAAAGAACACTATTGATATTAGATGGAGGAAAAGAAGTATAGATACAAGAATTATCAGCATATAGTTGACTAGTGAAAAAAAATATTAATGATACGAGGTAGTTAAGAAGTATAGAGTATAAATAGAAGAGGTCCAAGGATAGAACCCTGAAGTACCCCAAACACAAGAGTAGAGCTAAGGATAGTGAATATGGCCCGAAACCAAATAGTAAAAAAACCTAACAAATTTAAAAAAAATTCTATCAGAATGAAAAGCAATCCAATGAAAAATCATTAATTGTTATCTAAATCTTTAACGAGACAACATTCAATATCTTATTCAATTTTAAATGTTTTAAAGGCTCTGATGGCCAGATGACCTGTTAATAATATAATAAATATGTTAATAAATTATTGTTCTAAAAAAGTTGGCTAAAATGGGAGTTGCAAGATTCAGACATATGGTCTTTAAAAATTACCAACACCGATTACTGCTTTGATATATATTATATATATAAATAAATATATACATATATAACCACGCCACGTATGAATGCTATTTTTGGAAAATAGAAGCATGTCACTCAGAAAGAAAGAATGACACTTCTCTTCGTACATTAAACCTCAGTTGGAATAAAGGTAGGATCTTTACCCGTTTACCCGACAACAAATTTAAGTTAATTTAATACTAAATTTAGTATGGAGATGCTAAAAAACCTCAATCGGTTAAATGTGCATAATCATGCGATACGGCCAACCCGAGGCTTTTGTAACCCTGGAACGAACACTGGCTTAACGAGTTAGCGCCTATACACGTACATCATGATGTTATATATATATATATATCTTGGTAATAGACCATAATTTTTACAATATTCTATAAATTTTACCGAATGTTTGGCGTTAATATGTTTGTACTTTGTTTTTTCAATTTTTCTCACTAAAGTTTTTTGGTGAACGTTTAGTATATATATATATATATATATATATATATATATATATATATACATATGAGTCGAGGTGACAAATCGATTCGATAACTGATATAGTAGTGCTTAAAATAACTTTGTCTATTATAGAAGTAAAAGAAAATGTTATTATCACAGAGAATGTAAATTTAACATTTACACAAAATTGAAAATAAGAATGAATTTTTCGCATAAAGTAGCAGAGTGCTATTGAAATTTAGAATGGCGCATTCTTCTAACACATTAGTATAACCACAAAACTATTCTTGCAAAAGTGGAACCTGAAATTTATAGCGTTTCAAGTGTATAATACATCGATAAATGAATGCATTACAAAGGTCAAAATATACCAGTAAAGATGCCAAATTTGTAAGTCTTTTGTCTTCGTGTTGTAACAGTTTAAAAACATTCTTGGAAAATTTTAATTTGACATCACTGTCTGATAATAAAAATAAGAGAAAAAGTAAATCATCAAATTAGCAGTATATTGCACCTAAATTACCAATTGAAGGTGGCAGCGGAATCAGATAATATAAAGTCGTTAGACATGAGATAACCAGTTCTGCGTCAGTTCTTAAAAAATTTAAGATTGCATAAGGAATTAATGCAGTTCAAACTTAAAAAAAATAAACGTATAAACAGGCACACAATCAGTTCCTAAAGTTAAGTTATATATAAAAAAATTAAGTAAAAATTAAAATGATGTCGCTTTTTTAATGTTTTCGTTCATTCGTCATTACATTCAGTTGTAAATTAGTTTTTTTTTCTGGCTGGCTAAGTTGTGGTTCTCTGGTCAGTTGTGTCAATAAATAAATAAAAGAAAACAGCTACAGCAGAAAAAGACTTTTTTGGAAACGACATTCATATATGTAAAAAACACTGACATACATATTTTTCCCCCATAAAATAAGTCTTACACAAATTTTTAACGCTGATTTCAAATTTGAAAACTGTTTTGCCCTATCATATTGTCTTCCAAAGAAAAGGACTCTTAACCATTTTTTAAATAAACATTCAGAGCTTATTTAATTCAATCACCATTACCAATACAGAAGATAGAGAAATGTTTCTCGTTTAAACAATGTTATAAAATTTGCCAACCATGAAACTTGCATTTCTGCAACGCAGCAAAATCGGAAAAACATTGTCATTTTCGTACAGCCACAAAAGCAGTGCACAATAATGAAAAAATTAGGTTTTTTAGTACATTTCAAAGAATAATTTCACAAAAAAAAACAACACTTGTAATTATTACATTCTCCGATTTCAAATAATTTTTGAAATAGCTTTTGTTTAAAAGTGGCATTTGAGTAGATATATAAAAGAAAAGTTGGATAATTTTTCTGGGTGTCGGAACCTGGAGTCCAACATTTTTTAATCAAGAAGTCAAGAATTTTTTAATCATTTATAATCTCAGAAGAGAACTTTCTGTAAAAAAATTTATGATGAAAAAGTGATCTGAGATGGGTCAACAAGTGAACCAGAGGCAAGAAATAGTTACACTCTACAAAAGCATCTGAAATGGAAAAATTTGATGAAATTCCAACATAATTATAACCGTCTATTTTATTGTAGTGGCATAATACCGAAATATGTTAGACAGTGAACAAAAAATTGCAACGATAATTGTTGATTTGAATGGAACAAAACCTGTTCAAGCAATTGGCAATTAATATTAACCCATCATCTTTCAGTACAATATCCCGGACATCATTATCTGAAAACGATAACAACGTTAAAAAATTAAGTAAAAAGATATGTAATATATTTGAATTTGTAACCAGTGACAAGATTGCACAAGCCTCCAATTGAGAACAACACCATCTGATCATCATCTTCCAACAGACAATCTGCTTTTGATCATGTACAGTACAAAGAATACCAATTTTATGGAAATGTTATGGAAACTAAATGACAACCAATTATTAATAATATTATTTTTTATCAATTAAATTACAGCAACACACAAACATACATCGCACGTGAATGAAACGCAAGGATCTCTCAGCATTCGAGTCCAGCCAATAACACAGCAGGACCAACCAAACACTAACCGCCCATACTACCATAGCTAATATTATTGTGCATATACATATGCAATACATTAAACATTAATTTTATTTGGGTATAAGATCATTTCTATATTCTAATTATGTGTATAAGCTTCCAATTTTGCAATAACCTTTAGATCAAAAAACACGAACTCGACCAGTTTTATATATAAAAAAAACAAAAAATGACTTAACATTAAAGTATTGCAAAAAGTTATCAAACCTAGAAATAATTCAACCACGTTTAGAACTTTCAAATAGTGTAAATTGATTGGATCATAAGCAAAATTTGCCAAATTTGCTAGGATCTGTAATTTGGCACCTGAAAATGCACAAAATAGTCTATCATTAAAAAATTCTAGAAATTCTTTATAGTCATGTAAATAAACAATTATCACATATTTGACATTATACAACATTTCAATCAAATAATAGTACGCTCTTTGTTAATAATTATTTAAATACTTATTATAATTTAATCGATTAAATTAATAGTATTTAAATTTAAATAATAAATTTATTTTTATTTAATTATTGTTTATTTTATTAGGCCTTTACATAGGCCAAAAATTCATACTGTTGTTCGTGGTTTGTTGAAATTCATCTACAATTGACTGCAAGTGACTAAGCCTTCCCAAGCCGTTGGGTCCAGTTTTTTTCTCCAAATATTCTCTAGTGGCAAACATGGAAATCAAACTCGGACATAACAATTTGTTTCATTATTTTGCTTGCATTGTAAGAGTAAGTTAACATTCTGACGATTACATTTAAAAAGCTATGAAAAGCTATAAATGACAATTATAGAAAGCTACATATACGGAATAGTTGTGATATAATACAAATGAATAGAGCTGCGATACTTCACTGAACTATATGTAAAGATGGAAAATACGATAAAACATATTTTGTTACACGCCAAAAATTTTGAGGTTTAACAAAATGTAAACATTCGTTGCTGGCCATATTTTCTAAAGGTTGTCACTTCCATCGCATCCGCCACTAACATACATTGGACCATTGCACACAACCTGTTGATAGGTGGATATATGCGGTTATGATATATTATATAAAATTGAAAAAGAAAATATATATATATATATATATATATATTTATTTAATATATATATATATATATAGTATAGTATGAATTCTACCAAATTTTTGGCATTAATCAATTTAAAGTTTGTCTTTTCAATATTCTCTACTAGATATTTCTGAAAATTATTCAATTTAAATTCATCATAAAAATTTGAAACTGTTGCTATCCGAATTCATCATGCAGATAAGGCCTTATTTCGATTTTTATTTTTATTTCAAAGACGAATCATGAACCGATTTCCAGGTTAATGGTGATAGATTTGTATTTACAGCTAACAAAACTTCCTTTGTTAGAAACTGTTGAGTTTTTAAATCATTTTTAATAGCTTTGTATTAATATCATCACACAAACAAAATATTGGCAAGTGATCAGATAAATCTGGATATATAATTCCTGAAAAATCACAAAAATTAATTAAATTGTTGTCTGTGAAAATGTTAACCACAAGCGTGCAAAAATGATCAGATATCCTAGTAGCATTAGCTATTAACGGTATAAAATTCAAAGAATACATACTATTTTAAAAAACTGAGCAATATTTTTTGTCATGGGCCAAGAGATTTATGTTGAAGTCTCCAGATATAAATTGATTTGTTGTTAACATTTTTACTTTTATTAATTAAATTAACAAAAGAGAATGCATCATAATCTGGAGACTTGTTAATGAAAATGATGATAACGTTAGGTTTTCGTTAGGTTTGCGATTTAGTAACATTTCGACAGCCGTACTTTCAACATTTTTACTTTTAAGACTGAGATCATCTCTTATAAAAAAATTTAACTTGTTTTCGATGAACATTCACCCTCCAATTCTGTTTTCAAACATAAATTTATAATTTGAAATATGAATTACTGTTGACAAATCATCTTTGAGCCATGTTTTAGTTACAGCTATCATTTCAAAATTAGTATTGCAGTCATTACTAAGAAGTTCAACATCATCTGTTTTATTGCTGTTATATTTGCTGGAAGGAGACCATAATTGATGCATAATTTGATAAAATCTAACGAATTCTTAGCTTTTGAAAGTTTACTATTGGGCTTTTCAATATTTCTAACAGTAATTTTATAATTATTATCTGATTTATTAAAGTTAATTAAAAAAGTTGTTGGTGTTCATCGTGAACCCTATAGGTCAAATTTCGGTTTTACTCATCATCAGCGCTTATAAAATGTGAAAAATTGTGAAGTCAAAATTTTCAATAAATTGAACATTTTCGAGAAAATTCTAGTAAGGAAAATTGAGAAAACAAACTTTAAAACATGGTCTCCTTCCAACATTATAATATATATATATATATATATATATATATATATATATATATATAATAATAATAATAATAATTATATTATTATTATTAAATGAAAATTTATAAATCGCTTTTTAATAAAATCTCAAAAGCGCCTACAATAAGTCATAAGTGCAAGAAAAAATAAATAAGACAAAAGAAAGAAAGTTGATTGTCACTCAGTTAAATGTCAGAACACACATATATTTAACACAAAATCAATAAATAAATAGATGACCAAAAAAAAGTAATACTTATTCAAATGACGATTTTTAGGATTTATCCACACAAGTTACTAGTTATGTACAAAAATTCAACGCAATAATCAACAAGCCTCACAACGAATTATTAACCGACACAAGAATTAAAACAACATAATGATAGTACTGACTAATAAAGAACATAAAAAATAAAAAAAAACAAAAAAATAAAATTTCATTTTCATAATTACATTTAATTACAAGAACCGAAATGCTGCTTAATGCCCATAAGTTAAACATACATTTACAAAAACAGTCAAAAACGGGAGAAACAGATGAACGTATTTTTTAAGTATTTTAGTTGGCAAATCATCCAGTGGGCACGACTTTGTAGGTGAATCCAAAATAACTTGACGAATCTCATCACTGGAACAGCACTGAAATAATGAAAGTTCAGCACATTCACTCATCCGATTGTTTGAAACAATAGGCTCTTTGATACAAGGCATCGTCTCTAGTATGTTGTCAACCTTATCTTTAAAAAATTGAGCAAAATCATCAGAATTTAACTCATCTGACATATTAAGTGAATCAACAGAATTCATCTTGCATAAAACCCTGTTAATTGTCATCCAGAGTTTCTTTGGATTGGAGCCATTTATTTCAATCATATTTCTCCAGTAGGCTTTCCTTTTTTCTGAGAGCAATGACTGTTTCTTCAACATAGCATCAACGAACCTTTTCTTGCTAACATCCCCAGGATTAAGTCAATAAGCTCTTTCAAGTCTTCTGCAGCGTAGCTTAGTCTGCCAACATTCTTCATCGAACCAAGGCGAAGCAGCATTATTTCTAGTCATCACATAGTGTTTCGGTGCAACAATATCTATAATATTTTTAACTTCTTTTTTGTAAAGATCAAATAAGTATTCAGGATCATCTGATTTAAAAGGTCCATCAATAGGCGAGTTTATTATTACCGCGGCAAATTTATCAAAATCCACACGATTCCATGAACGAACCAGTCTTTTTTTTCTAACAAAATAATTTAGCGGAATCGAAAAACATACTTGGACCAGACCATGATCGGAATAAATACCATATGGACCTACGGTACACGAGGACACAGGCAATTCCATTGAGGATACCACTAGATCCAAGATACCACCATGTACATGGGTAGTTTCCTTAACTCTATTTTCAAGGTTAAATGCATGAAAAACATCTACCAACCGGATTGAATGAGTATCTCCAACCTTTTCCAAAAGAACATTCAAATCCTCCGTAAGAATGACATAGTCCGCCAATAACTAAATCTGCTCCAAGAGTGATGTAAGCTCATCAAAAAATGCAGGAGTAATTGGTACAGAACCCGGTCGATAAACTGCCAATAACAGAATCGTTTTTTTACCGCACCGAATTTTAATAGCAAGTGATTCAAAGGAATTTACCACTGGTAATTCTATTTTTTTTAACCTTAAAAACATTCTTAAAATATACAATTATTCCTCCATGATTAGGGTCGTGTGGGCGCAAATAATCCATAAATGAGAAGCCATAAGGCATAGCCAATTTCACAGAAATATCATCAGATGATCCATGCCATGTTTCGGTCAGTACACATATATCTAAATCATTTGATAACAAATCATGAATTATATTATATTTTGACCGAATGGATCTAATATTAAGCAATCCCAAATTTAATCCGGTTTGGTAGCAGGCTTTGGATATATATATATATATATATATATATATATATATATATATATATATATATCTGTGGTGTGTGTGCGCGCTTATGTGTGTATGAATCAACAGTTTTTCTTAGAAAAATTCTTTACTGTCTTTTTAAGCATTAAATAAAAATAAAATATCCGTTTATGATGCATTTTGAAATTATTCTTCAACGTTCAATATTTAAAGAAAAAGTAATTTTTACAAACGGGGGTTGTTTTTTCAGACAACTATCTATTCTTCTGCTTATAGATTAGATAAAAAAATTCATCGTTGACATCACAATGTAAATTTTTTCCTATTCATTCAAGTTTAAAAGATGGCGATGACAACAATTCAGGTGTCTCATTGTGTGCTCTGCTAATTACACGTAATTAGTGCTCATTCATTTAGTTGCTCTGGGCAACAAGTCGAGTACAACAAGCAGAACACGGTGTAGGAACAAATTTATTTTCTCTTATTTTTGCGCGCGCTTTGTGAATATAATTTTATTTAATGGAAAAAATTGAAAATTTTCAAGATGCTAAAACAAAGGTTAGTTCTAATTTCAAGCCATATTGTTTTAAATTGCTAATTTGAAGTATTGATTTCTGCTGTTTAATCATACGACAGCTGTTTAATCAATTCAATCATGCGTCCGCCTTGTACCGTCAACTAGTATACGATTTGGCGTGCGAATGTCAACCAATTGGTACTAATTACACCATGGTTAGGAAAAGAAACAGTTTGATGCAAACTGCCAAGAAAGCTATTTTATTTGTGAAAACTTACATTGAAAAGTATTTATTTATGTTTTTATTACGAATTTAAGATAAGATTACAAATTTAATTTTTGTAAATATCAGCAGTCGGAGAAGCAGCCAAAAATTTCTCGTCCTAGACGACGTAGTGTGCTCATAATAATTCACTTGTATCTAACTGTATTTTTAGAACTATCAAATTAGATTAAACTTGTTACAATACAATAGAACTTAGAAGAATTAAATTGTTGACGTCTTCGTTGGACCCTCACCTTTGACCACGCATCTGGGCCTAATTAATAATTCTTAATAATTCCTAATCATTAGAAAAATATGAAAAATGAAAGTAAAACATGCAAAAAATTAGTGACTATATATATAAATATATGAGATATTTAAATAAAAAAAACAAATTTATACAAACAGTTCAAACAATACTCGTTTGGAAGAGCGTTTGACGTTAGAGAAAATGACCAACGACCTGGCATGCTGCATGGAATATCTCGAACAACAACTCGTCCTTGAATTCAAGATATACAACGTTATGAATCATCACCAGCACTCGTGTTTGTTTCAATTTTTACTGCTTCTTTAAAATTTATTTATGAAAACCAAATTGATAAATAATATATTTTGCGTTGAATTGTATTTGATGATTTGTATAGCGCCTCTATGAAGAACCTCAGAGGCGCTAGCTTCGCTCTGGATTGCTGAACAAATTATGCTTCAAACGTTTTTTGAACAATTTTCGGGTTGTGTCGTTGATTTTTTCCAGTTCCACAGGCCAAGCATTCCAAATTTGATGCTAAAAATCTTCTACTACTAAAGCGCGAAAAAATAAATCTTGGAAACACTCAGTCTTTTTCGGTTCGCAACTTCAGAAACCAGTTGGAGTTTTTCTTTCAAATAACTTGTAATAAATAACTTAAATAATTTCTGACGATGAGAGCTAATTTTAATTTTATCCTTTCTGGCGTACGAAGACAGTGTAGCTCATTTCTGATGTAAGCCGAAATTGAAACGAATTTCGAATATCCTGCCAAGAATCTATTCGCAGCGTTGAAAATGGACCGTGTATCACGAAGATATTCTTTAATTCCGTACATTATCGAATTACAGCAGTCAATTCTGCTGCAAATTAAACTACGAGCATATGCTTTCGTTGATTCATTGGTCAACAAAATTTATTTATATGACTTTTCATTGATAGGTCAGATTCAAGTATAAGTTTAAGACTAGTCACTTGTTGTTTGAGCTCAATCAAGTAAGACCGTGCGATGTTCCAACCCACACATAGGTACTGAGTTCATGTTGAGTTTCAGCGCGTATGACGACATCAATTTTTCACTGCGTTTATTGCGTTCGACACGGTAGCATTCACATGGCGTGATGATTTTGTCAGTCCAAATTCATTTAGCTGAACATCGTCAGCATAAAGACGACATTGAAGACCTACTTTTTCAAAAACTTCTGCGACAAATCGACAAAATCTATCGCTTGACCATGAGTATGAGCAACTTTAAACTAAAAGATTTCAAACCAGAAAATCTGAAACGAGAAATTCAAAATGACGTACGTGTTAACTTTGGTGTATGCTAGCCAGCTCGATGTTATAAATATTGCGTAATTAATTTGAGCTGGCCGGCCTATGAAGGTTCTTTGTACGATTCAGATCATATCAATAAAAAAGTAAGTGAACCTAACTAGTTTAATCCTGTTATTTTGTTTTTCAGTTATCAAACATCTCATTAGAACGGGCGTATCTGGACCAAATTTATCAAGAAAGGAATCAGGAATCAGCAACTCTGTTCCTACAAATATTAAATTTGTGAAGCTAATTCTAAAGTAATTAAAATAAATTATATTTTATTCTTTATAATTTATGTATATCCGAATTTCACTTTTCATTATATAATTTTTCTATTCCAAAATTCTTCAATTATTTTTAAACTTTGATATACGCATTGTGCATGGTTTATTTGTCTTGTTGAGGCTTGCTCACCTGTATATATGTAAATTTACTGAATTTTAGCAAAACATGAAAGATTATTAAATTTAAACGTCAAACTCAAAATGATCAGATTATTATTTCAACACTTATATAGTGCTTTTTATAACAAGGTTACTCAAAAGAGCTCTAACATGCTTGAATGCCATGTTTCAAACATAAAGGATCTTTGTTGCTAGGCTTTACTGCAAAAAATACTACATTTTTCAGTTTTTGCATAAGTTGAACTAATTATTAATTTTAATAAAATATCTTTATTTAAGAACAATTATTTATTAAAATTTATACATTAAATATTTTAAATATTTTTATTACAAACTTTAACTCACGTTCCATACTTTCTATTTACATCCAATGTCTTAAATCTCAAGATAAAATTAATGAATAACAAAAATAATCAATGTTGATATAACCACCAAATTTTTCGATAAAGACGACAAAATTGCAAATGTTTTATAACATTTTTAACAAAATACCAGATAGCATGCTAACTCTGTATATGGACGACTTTAGATCAGCAATCGAACATAAAAACAAAAAATTAGAATAAGCAGCACCAAGACATTTTAAAGAATATAGAAAACTTTTCCAATAAAAAAAAATGACGTTTTCTTATAAAAAAAACTAAAGAAAGGCCTTTTTAAGAACATAAACTAAAGAATATTTCATTTTCAATGGTGGATCTAGACAACTTTAAAGGAGTGGCCTAAATTTGAAAAATGTTCACATTTTTAATTTTGACTGGGGGCCAAAACCTATCATGATTTATGGTAGTGTTGCTAAAATTACGCTGACAATCTTTTCTGTTTATCACGTCCAATTTTTTATTTTTCATAAATCTTCTGCATAAAACGGTTTTCTATGCAAAAACTGTTTTACTGACTTTTAATACAAATACTGCTCACAACTGGAGAATATTTCACGACAAATCGCTGACATATACACATGGATATATATATATCCATGCATATACATCAGAATATAAATTCTTAGGAGTCACGTTTAATCGCAAATTAAAATTCATAAGTCACTCAAATAAAGTTAAAAACAAATATGTGAAGTCTTTTAAATTAATAAAAATCTTATTTAAATACGAATTGAGAGTAGATCAGAAAAGTTTATTATAAATATATCGAGCAATGTAAAGACCAGTCATAGATTACGGCAGTCAGATCTCTGGTACAACAAGAGGTTCGTATTTAAAAACAACAGAATCAATAATCAATAAATCATTAAGAAGATGTCTAGGGGCATATAGAATACCATCTTCTATTAGCCTCACACCATAGCAGAAGAAATATCTATATAAAATTAAAAAATTCAACATGATCATTAAATTATTACCTCAACCAACCAACAAACTTAGTTTGTCAATAGTAATTGAAGACAACCAATTTAAATCGAGCATCAAAAGCAATACTGCCAATAAATTTGAGATTGAGATTGACTTAGAACCGATGAAGGAAGTTTCTACACCGATAGCACCTTGGGTCATCAGCAGAGCACTTGTCGATGTATGTTTGAAACACCAGAAAAAGATAAAATTTAAGCAAAAGCAATGTTTAAAAAATAATTCAAAAATATTCAAACTATACACAATGGTTAAAAAATTAACAATCCAGCGACAGCAGCAGCAGTCCTCATTCATTAAATTACACTCGTGCAATTGAGTTTTTCTATTTTTCGTACAAATTTCAGTTAATCATAGAGTTTTTTTTCTGTTCATAAAAAGGTTTTTATTAATTCTTTTGCATTTTTATTTAAATATATACGTATGATACGTGTGCATTTAATAGATTTGAGTTTGTTAAATTTTGGCTTTAGGTAACATTATAAGTTACAAAAAACAATGCCAAATATGATTTTATTATTCTGATTGAAAATTTTAGCGACATAAACGAGTTGGACATGATGGTGAACGCGATAAGGAACCTTTCTTTTGCCAAACCATGGGACATATGTCCCACAACAGTTAAGCCTTCCAATCAAACAATCGGTAAGTTGAACAATTTTTTATCTATACTTTCCACAAATAATTTTATTTACTTTTCAGTTATGGTTAAATAAATTGAATGATACGCCTGAATTTGTTTTATGTATGCGGTCTTATTGCTTTGCGACCTTAGTGTTATGCAATCTTTTGTCCAGCAGTCTTTTACCGGCGGTCTTTCATCGGACACCTGCTAGTCGTTGGTGAAGCTATCTTTTAAAAAATGGTTGAATGAGTATTTGTATTACAAAAGTTATTCAAAATTGTAATTTTAATTTCGTTGATAGAACCGAATAAGTTTTTAATTTACGATGTAAATAATTGAATTGGTTGATACCGTTGATGCTAAATAATAATGGATGTAGACGATATCTTCACTATCATCATTTGTTAAACTGATTTCTTCAAATTTCAAAGGCCAATCACCGAATATATTTAATATGCCTAATCAGGCCAAAATTAAGCCATTCACCGTACGTACGTAGAACAATAGTTTCTGCTCACCTCGGATTTTAATTTTAATTAAATTATTTTAACAAACTTACTTGTAGTTAAATTTAGTTTAGTGTTTTGTTAGTTTTTTAAAGATGTATTGTTATTGATGTAAGTTATTTAAAAATTTACGAAATCACGCACTGTTTGCGTGTGCGTTCCAGCTTCCCATCCACATCCACATCGTCTGCATCCATTATTATTTAGCATCAACGGTTCTACGTTCAACCTGTCTACCTCTACAATGTTGTCGATAAGAATTTTTCTTGCATTAAAATTGTTCAGCAATACCAGGAAATATGTTTCTGCTTACATGAAAATAACAAATTAAGTCGTTTTGTGACTCGTGTGTCAAAATTTCACTAAATGTCAAGTTGCTAATAAAAGCATGGATGTAAATGAAAATTGAGAACTTGAACGTTGAGCGGCACGAACGAAGTTATAATAACATAAATTGGAGGTATAAAGTGCAGCATTTATTCAGTCCTAGATTCCACTATTAAAAAAACTCAATTTAGATGAAAATGACATCGGAAACTGCAGACCGATTTCAAACTCCTCATTTGTCTTCGAACTCATCAAATGTGCAGTTCCCAGTTTAAAAAATAATTCTTTAATGTCAGCTTATCCGTCGGGGTCGAATGATAAGTTGCATTGCAAGGTGACACCCAGGTTTAAAACTGCTGGCGTAGAAGGTGATGAGACCATCCTCCACCAAAACTATTTTACAATCTAGCAGAAATTTACTTTAACGTTACCAAATGATTTAACTTAAAACGTTAACATTTTAATTACAGACTGCAACGTTTTGCCTTTTACTATCATTTCGGTTAGCGAATTTAATTTTGTTTTATATAATGACGATTCATTTCATTTTGCATTTTGGAATAAATACATTTTCAAAATTCAGTCAGTAACAATGATAAATAATAAACTCAAAGTATGGAGTAGCTTCTTATCCCTAAATGTTACTAATACTTTTCTGAATAAATTGTTTAGAATAAAACTATTACCTCAGGAAAATATTTGAGTTTTAACAGTATTTGAACCAGGCCATTGCGTATTAACATCGCGTGACATGACACTTCTATTCTACTGACTGAGCTACCGACATGTTTGTCATTGTAAGGAAGCAGCTTTAGACAATTGAAAGCCACAAGCAATGTGAATTTGACGTCCCAAAATTTAACAAAAAAGGTTTCCTTTTTTTAATAAAGTCCAAATTGTTTAAGGAATACAAATCAGTGTTATTTAAGTTAGCTATTTCAACTCGAAAATGGTTCTCCAACATTGAGTTTTAACAGTATTTGGAAACTGTGACCTCGCGTTATGCCAAAACAATTATTTAAATCAACTTTGTCCAAATTATGCATGATTTTAAACAACTGAATCGAGCCTCCTCTTTTTCTTCTTTCCACCAACCTAATTTTTTAAGACGATCTTCGTAAGCTAGGTTTCTAATAGATGGAGCCAACATTGTTGCTCTGTGCTGAACTCTTTCGATCACCTCGCTATCACCCTTTAGATTTGGGACCAAACTGATACTGCAAACTCTAACAGTGTACGAATAAGTTAGGTATAAGTATTTGATTTGCTTTGTTTGATGTTGTGATGACTTGATTTTCTCATTTCAAGTTATTTTAAAAAAATCACTTCAAGATCTCTCTCGGATTCAGCAAAAAGTATTCCATGTATATACAGTGAACATTTTTTAATGCCTGATACCTAGTGCACAGAATTTCAATATTGAACCGTAGAAGTGTCCGCCTCATTCAAATCAAATTTACGTTCGACTAAATCTTTATCTGACGATATGCTCTCAAGATTTTAATATCATCTGCAAACAGTTCTGTTGTATTTTTCAGATTAGTTGATAAGTCATTGATTTAGAGAATGAAGAGTAGAGGACCAATAACAGAACCCTAAGGAAAATACTATAAATTTTAGCCGTCAGAAAGAGTTTCACCTTGAACAATTTTTTGTCTTCTGTTTTTAAGAAACAATCAATCAATCTTCGTTTTGCGTCCAGAGACCCGGTTTCCCGAGGTAGGCCGTTGTTTTCTTTGCCATCAACTTTTTGCGCCAAATTAGGCGTTCAGTTGTATCCATTTCATTTAAATTTAGAGCTTTCATGTCTTGCTCGATTGTCTGCGACCAGATTCTTTGGACGGCCTTTGGGACGTGTGCCAGGTACTTCAACATCTGCAAAAGAAGTTATGGCACTGTTTCCACTTGGTTTGACATGACCAAACCACCTCAGACGGTGTTGCCGGCATTCGTTCTTTATATCATCTAAACCAGCACGACGCAGGATTTCGGTAGATTTGATGTGGTCCTTCAGACTAATTCGTTGCATCCATCGGAGCATTTTCATGTCGGTTCGTTGAAGTAGTTGTTCCAGTTTGGTTGTCATTGGCCATGTTTCTGCACCATATAACAACACCGGACGTATCACAAATTTATAAAGTCTTGATCGTAGTGATAGTGTGATGTCACGCCGCATCAATATAGAGGCAAAGAGACGCCATTTATTCCAGGCTTCACGGCAACTTCAGCTGTTCCAGTACAATCCAGAACATCCCCTAGATATTGAAGCGATGTGACTTTCTCTACCTTAATAACTTCAAAAACATTGCTATTTCGAATTTGTTGTTGTGGATTGATGCAAGCAGGACAAACAAAATTGGACACTTTAGATAAAGTACCAATTATTTTTGAACAACGTTTGTGACACCACTGGTTACACTTGATTGAATTGTTACCTACACCAGCTTTACAAACTGAACAGGGCCATCATCCAGTAGCTGTAGATTGGATGGGCTCACCAGTGTTCATTGCTTTGGTTTTGCTGATGTTGACTTTGAATCCATGATCGGCGAGTCTGGTGTTCCAATCTTCAAACATCTGTGCAGCATTCTGCTCAGACGTGGCTGTTAAAACGATATCATCAGCATATATTAGATTCCAAATGTCACCAGTGCGTATCGGTTTTGTGATTTCTTCCATCACAGTTATAAATAACAGTGGACTGAGAATCGAGCCTTGGTGAACTCCAACGCCGATGTCAAATGCATCTGTGTTTCCAACCGTTGTGCTGACAAGAGTCTTAGTATTTGTATACATTTCCATCACAAGTAGAACAAGATATTCTGGAATGAGTTGTCGACGTAGACTCCATCTGATTGCTTCACGGGGAACTCGATCAAATGCTTTTTCAAGGTCTACAAAAATGTGTAATAGTTGTTGATGCTTTGCGAGGTACTTTTCTTGCAGTTGCCAAAGGATGTGAATAGCATCAATTGTTAATTTCCCCACTAGGAAACCAAATTGATAATTTCCGATTGTGATGCACGACGTTAATCTTCTCTCAATGATTTTCTCGACAATTTTCAGGGAGTGTTCTATTAGACGTATACCCCGATATGATGAACAGTTCAATGGATCACCTTTGCCTTTGTATAGCGGAACTGTCATGCTATAGTTCCATTCAGTCGGCATTGAGCAATTTCTCCAGATTTCACGGCAATGTTGTAGTAACGTTTGGATACTTGCAGTACCAGATGCTTTGATAATGTCATTTGTGAGTGCAGAGGGCCCTGCTGCCTTTCCATCCTTCATAACTTTCAGAGCTTCTGTAAGCTCCTTTACAGTGATGTCTGAAATCGAACCTTCGATGGATGGAGCGTCAAAGTTGACATTGATGGGATTTGTTTCATTTAACAGACGGTTGAAGTATTCTCTCACTGTAGCTTGATCTCATCTTGTTCAAGAACCATCTCATTTTTGTCGTTTCTGATACGTGAGGCACCAACTATGTCTTTTTTGTACGCTTTGCTTGTTTTGCTATACGATACAGAGATTTCATTTGTTCACCTTTGCTTTTAGTGAGCCACTCTCTGCACTGATCTGTCCAAGCCAGATGACGTCTTTCATAGTTGTTCTTTTCACGGAAAATTTTTTGGTCATCAACAGACTTTGATTTTTGCCATTGCTTTAATGCAACTTTCTTTTCAGCTCTTGCATTTTGTACACTGTCATTCCACCACCAAGTGTCCCGTTCATGCTGACGTTTTCTACCAGTTTTCCCACAAACTGTAGTTGCAGCGTTTATAAAAATCTGTACTGGCTTGCGATTGGTGGTCTAACTGTGTGGCGACAATCTGTTGAAATTTTTCTCGATGAATATTGCTTTCAGCTTCCACGTTTTGATTCTCCGAGGCATTTGTTTAGACTTATGTTTTGACAGTTCGACAACCAGGTCTAACTTTGACATTTTTAAGAAACGATTCAATCTATTTATATACACCGATCCATTTACTCCATAAGCATTTAATTTAGCTAATAATCTTCTGGGTGGAACTGCCTTTGCAAATTCAAGCAGGACTACATCCACTGGAATAGAATTTTCCAAATTATAGAAAGTAAAACCAATAGTTTCAAGTAGATTTGTTGTGCATGATTTGCCCTTAACAAAACAATGTTGTTGTTTTACTATTATGTCATTCCTTAAAAGATGATCTTCTACACTTTTTCGAATTATAATTTCCATTATTTTACACGGAACTGATGCTAAAGAAACCGGGCGATAATTTGTAGCTAGTTTTGTCGCCTTTTTTGCAGATCGGTGAAACGTTTGCCGATCTGAACTGAAATTGACTGGTAGCCAAAGAATCATAACATATCTTTTTAAAAGAAGTTTATGAAAACATGAAGCATTCAAGCAAATTTGTTTAACACTGCTTGAAGTTATGCAATATACATACCATGACAACACTCTTATTCTCATCTTAACAATTGTTTCACAAACATGTCTGCTTATTCAAATTTTAAATGCATTAAAAATTGAACAATGCACAGGTGCATGGACGGAGCAGGATAACCAAAAGAAGAATGATCGCGATCTCCATCACCTTAGCATCCTTGGTGACTCTCATCGTCATCATCAGCATCACTGCGGCTGTGTTACACTGATTTCTTCCGGATCAAACACAAAACATGCAGACTTAGTTAATTATTAGCATCCTCTAGATGCATGGAACTTTCAACATTTGTATCGTGTGTAGATGTAACAAACTGAAACTTATCTTCAACTGCGCAGTTTAGGAATTAATTTATTACAAATAGACAAAAATGCACAACTATAAGATTCTTAACTGACTAAATATTTTCGCAGTCATTTTTGCTGATTAATTTGGTTAAATACAAAAAAAATTGCGCATGGACCAAACAATTCCTAACCAAAATTTTTACAAGTGCAGTTTTATGAGGGTACACCCCCTTACACACCCTAGAAATTGGTAGAACCCGAAAATATATAACATTACCTTTTATTATATCTTAAAACACAAATATCGATTAACAAGACAAATAATATAAATAAATAGGTTATATATGTTTTAGTGGCAAAAATCTTAAGATTTCAAGTGAACACAATTTCGGAACCGAGAAATTCTGCTACTACACCTTACGGTACAGGATAACATTTGTGCCGTTCTTTAAAACCAATTGTAAACTACACAAAAGAATTGAACGACCCAACCAGTAGAACTAAAAACCAAGCCGGTTTCTAGTGTCTAGTTGATGTTCATTCTTTACACAAATTTTTCAAAACTTTAAAATTTAAAAGCATATTTTTAAAAACGAATGTTTAAATATAAAATATTAAATGTAAACTTAATTAAATGTAAATTAAATTAATTATATGTTAACTTATGTAAATGTATAAGAAACAATCCAACCAATAACAAGGTGAATAATATAAAATTTAAAAAAAATGAGTCAATTTACAAATGAGATATTTAGTTTTTATTTTGTGATTTAATTACATATATCAAAAATAGTTCGTCAATGAAATTACAATGTAGCGATGTCTTTACTTTTTCACTCTTCTTGACATCTGCTCTAGGAAACGTCGATTCTTTTGAGATTGTTTTGTTTCAACACGCCGGTCAGCCCTAAAAATAATGTTTTTTAGATTGCAACATTTATTAATAACGTTTAACAAAAAAGTTGAGATATGATGAATTCAGCACTTAGTTATGACGTTGAATACTTGACACGGAATGTTCACTATTTTCTTCCTTCATGGTCTGGTGGGGCACCCTTCCCCGAACCAACCACAGACGAGTGAGTATATTATAACTTTAACACTTGCAACCAAATCAAATCTTATTACATTATATCATCAAAACCACCAAACCGGCCCAACTTGCTACAAGCGCATCCTGAAGCATCATCCAGACACTCGCTGTCCTTTCTAGCAACTCTGGTTGCTGAATTCATCATATCCCAAACGAACACCCATGGTAAGCAGTTTTTGTATTAAAAGTCAGTAAAACTCATTGTTTCAACCAAAAATTGCCATTTTGGACGAAGAAATAACGTGATAACAAAAAAGATGAAACAAATTGAACCATGTTTGGCCCCCCACTAAAGTTGCCCAGATACAACACTGGCCCCGACCACCGCCTAATAACTATCATTCTTTTTTAAAGCAATTTTTCCGATAACATAAACGATAAACAGAAAGACTCTAAATATAAAATTTCTTGAAATTATTGGACTACTTTTTTTGCAACACACCGATTGAAGTAAAATAGAATAAAATGAAATCTTTCACTTCCTTCAACTCCGGAGCCAACAATTTGAAAATGAATTTTTTTACTTCTACCATATTCATCACAATGAGGTGCGGGAATGTTGGCCACCAAAGCAAACTCATCCACACATTAATCACAACATCTTCCTGAGTTGTTTTAATGACACGCACAGCACCATGCCCACATATTTTTTGTAATCATCAAATAAAAATAATATCATTTCACACAACGCAACTTTTCAAAATTCTTCCATAGTCCGACAGTAAAATAGCTTCATTAATGACGTTTGCATATTCAAAAATGCTTGCATATTCATCAAGTAAAATTTTGCAACAAGCTGGTTAGCAGCACAGAACAGTCAGACGCACACAAAACGATGATGTGTCATAGTGATTAGAGGCTTATTCAAGATAATTAACTAAGTTCAAAATTGTATAATACACACACGTGTTGTATGTGTAGGAATAAGCACGGACAAATAAGACTGAAGAGATGAATGGATATTCACCCCACCAGAAGTATTCTAAAAATTTTGTCGATTTATGCGTTACTCAAAATTATTTGTCTTAAAAAAGTAATGCCTTACCATAACAAACAACTATTTTTCAAAAGTAATAAATTAAAAAACTCCGACTCCAAGCTTTCAAAACTTCTGACTTTTGCACTGCAAAACCCAATCAAACTGTACAGAAAGCCGCCCTTTGTACCATCACAACTTGTCCCAATACTTTCCCAATCAACATGCCTGTCACCAAACCTTAATGCAAACCCATCGTCCTCATAAAATGAAAGGAAACAGACACTTGCATAACTTCCGACCGTAGCATCCATCTCAATAGTCACAAATCCAAATGAAACAACATCAACAACATCTCCAAATGTGCCAAACCTCTCCAACAACCAACTCACCTCAACACAACAGACCTTAGTAAAATCTTGTAGAGGTTGCAGCTAAACCAATAGGCTGGTGTCAGACATGGAACAACCACAATATCAACAAACTACTTGAAATCTAGCGATTGAATATGGACTCACAGTGTGGTCTCACACGAGACATCTGGCGGCAAGCAACAATGATAGCAACTAACAAAAAGATTCCACAAAAGTCTGCTGTCCTGTGTTACACAACTGCAGGCTAAAATAGGACTGTTTTCCATGTCCGGAGTCAATCTTGTTGGATGGTTGATAAGTGCAATTGAAAGGAAAGATATTACTTTATGAATATGCACTGGAACCACTTTGATATCCAATGCAGTTCTAATTTAATTAATAAAAAAGTTCTGGCTAATTTTTATTTTATTTAAATTTCTCTAGACATCGATGACAATGTCTTTTCTATGTATGCAGAATGCGATGGCTAACTAACCTCGTTTTAACTTTTACTTCTTTCAACTCCTTGTCTCTCAGGGAAGCAACAACTTTCGTTTTCAGATACTTCACAGGTTCTTCATCATGAGTTGCCAGTGGCTTAACTTTGCCAGAATATGGAACCCAGGTTAAAGGCTTTTCTAGACTGGCAGCCAAGTCAAATTTATTTCTGGCAGGTTGGTGTACATTTGTAGAGGATAATGTGGTATTGTTACCAGTTGCTGCATGTTTAGGTGAAACTGAAATTAAAATGTTAAACTTGAAGTAACAAATAATAAATCAAAGAAGTTAGAAGGCGTTTTGTATGGAATACCAAATTTTTCATGCATTTCTAACAGCTGTGAGAATGTTTAAAAGATAAAAAAGAAGCAGCAAAACTAAAACTTTTTTGCACTAAAAAAGAAAGAAAGAAATTTTTTTTATAAAACATGAATAATTTTGTAAGTAACTTCGAAAGATTAATGTTATACATCAAACAGCTGTAAAACAATGAAATTTTATACCTTTCATATTTTCTCTTACTCAATATTTGTAAATTTAAGACTGCTTACTTTTAAAAATTAAAGTTAAAAATATGTAGCACACTTATCTGCATTATATTCAAGTACCACACCACAGTACAAACACAAAGTATTGCATGTGGTCTTCTGGAGTTTTGCAAAGTTGGCTCAAACCATTTAGCATGTAATAAAAACGTAAGGCTTTTCTAAAATGAGCTAATTGGCTAAAAAATTAATTAAAAATCTTACAAAAGCAAGAATTGAAAAACACTTACATGGAAATTTTTTAGCAGAAAATTTTACATCATTTACAATTGCCATTCTAGCTGCTGATTCAGAGCATGTTGTTTTAGTTTTGTCAATATTTTTTGTAGATGTTTTCGTAGCTTGTTTAGAAAAAGTAAGTTTTGTACTAGATAATGTTGATTTTGCAAAATTAAGATCCATATTTTTTGTTGATGTGACCTGTGCTCTGAAAACTAAAGGGGACATCAATCTATTAGAACTTCTTCTAACATTCTTTGTGGAATTTTTGGCAGTAGAGCAATTGACTGAAGTTTCAACCTTAGCAGAGTGATCAGTCTTTTTTGCAATTTTGTTAGCGCTTGGGAAAATGCTGCTCGTCTTAGCATGGCTGTTTGTCTTCTGTTTCATCACTGTTGAAGTTGCAATAGGACTGCCAAACAACTGCACTTTTCTTTCTTCCTTTTTCTTCTGATAATCGTCTATAGAATCCATTTTGTCAAATTGTTTTTGATGTATTTTAGACCAATCTATACAAATTTTAAAAACTAACATTAACAATTGAAAATGGATACTAACAAAAAGATGGCAACAGCAATTAAAACAGTCATTAGTGACGAAAGACAATATCAATTTTAAACAACACCACCATTAAAACACAAAAAGCATAAAGTGCTCGAACATCAAGTAATTAATTAAAGCTTCAGTAATTGAAGCTTTAAGGGATGCAGAATCATAGGTTGAAAAATATGAGTCTGTTTGTGTTCATTAACTTTTAAATAAAATAAAACATCAATTTTTTTTATTACTTTTCTTAATGCATTCTAAGATAAGTGAATAATCTAATGATGTTTAAATTTCTAAGTACAAATTTTGTGAAAAATGTTTTGGCGTGAGAGTGAAGCAGGGATCAATGGCAGCAGATCATAACTCGTAATGCTCCGTTTCAGCAGGCTAGAAAATGGGAAACGAGAAAAATTTATATTCCGTGGTTGAGATTTGTCTTGAAAGATTATTATTTCATTTCATTACAGCGCTATCAGATTATAACTTGTTTATATCACAAACTTTAGGGAAAAAATCCTAAACAAAAATGTTTGTACATGAAATGCTAATTTAATGACTGAAACAAACATGGACCGTGATGGTGGGTGCTTGAAATTTAGCCAAGCAAACGTCTACAAGAATAAAGAAGATCCTTGATTACCATGAGAACAACTATAAAGATAGTCTCAACAAAGTGCTGATTACTTTTGATTCCAACTATAGGGACTTGAGATTAAAAGTTTTTTGGTCATCGCACTAAGCATCATGCTCAGTAAAATTATTTCAAATAGTTGAGATATAATTTCTACCTACTGTCAAGATATTGTTGAAATAATATTTATATTTGCCATCATGTTATTGTGGAAATTTTCATTAAATGAGCACAATTAATGATCAACATGCTTTGAAAAAAAAATGAGTTACCAATTTTTCCCTTTTTTGTAGCTAATTTAGAATTGATCCTGGGTATCTGAGAATCTGTTGGACAAAATTTTAGTTCTTAAACAAAAAATGTCAACAGTGTTAATCCCCATGAACCATCATTATATAAAATTTCACGTCAAATACAAATTAGTGGATTATGACGGGTGTGAATGGAGGCGACTACATGTCAAATGCTGAATTTCCATTGTCAACCAATTGAGACTTTGCATTCAGCACAATGTAAATCAATTTCTTTTCATTGAAAAAATATTCAGTTCAATTTAATATGGTTCAAGGATGTGGAATCATTTTTTAACTTATGATTTAAATTATTGCCATTTACTTTAAATTTGTTTAAAAAACGTTTAAAACTGTTTGTTAAGATAATTTAAATATTCCAAATTAATTTCTAGGCCATTATATTATATATCTATCTATCTTAAGTATTACATTTACAATACTTGTTATGCAACCTATTTGAATTTTAAGACGGCTTTAAATGTCATTGATATACCATTACTTTTCATGTAATTGTTGTTTTGTTTATTTTTATTAATAAGTTTTTCTATTAACCAATCTTTTTAAAAAAAAATCAGTTAGTAGCATAAGTTTGTATTTCAAATCGGTAAATGTGTCTGGTACTTTATATGTTCAACCTTCACTAATGACCTGGCGTGTTTGAAATATTAAAGATTTGAATTAGCTGATGCTACACGTGAATTCTTTCAAACAAAAGCAGCATTTTATTGAGAATGCCATAACATTTCAAACATTCAGTTAATGCACTGATAATTTTATTAATGTGAGCAATCGTTAAGTCCATTATTAACTAGTCAACCTTTTAGTTTCTATTAAACCCCATTTTAACAGCACAATGGAATGTCATGTTTTATTCTGATAATATTTAATTCAAAACTGTATGCATGCACCAAACAAAACATGTGTCTGCGAGATACAGCGCTACCATCTATGTTACTTTTTAGGTGCACTCTTTTGAAGGCTGACGGTTTAAGATTTTGATAATAGAGCAAATATAAATTAGAGACGAAAAGGTGTTGTTGATAGGTCAAGGTGTCAGGCAAGGCTGTGGGCAAGCCTTAAATTGATGTCAAAGTTGATGTTGTTAAAGTTTGAAGACATTATTCTCAAACTCTTCTACAGTTAGCACCCAGTCATAGTCTTAAAATAACTGTCATCGAATAAATTTGTTTTTTGAAACAATTTTACAATAATTAAATTTATTAATTGAAGAGTATTCACAAACCATTAGAAGGCTTTTTGTCATATGATGATCTCAATTTCTTTTTCATTGGCAGATCATTGTCATCATCTCTATTGTTTTCACCATCAAGAACTTCACCACAGTTTTGATTGATTGAAGTCTTTGCTGTATCATCTTTAGACATTCTTCCACGCTTAGCACTGATTTGCATCTCAACTTCAACTATTTCTGCACTTACTGAACCAATTTGGTTGTCTTTGACAATGCAGGGATCTTTTTTATGCTCTGCACACGTCTCATCAGAATCAAATGTCTTACGTTTAACCGTGGATTTAATCTTATTTTCTTTTTTGATTTCATTTTCTTTTGAGTTAAGATCATTAGAGGCATTGAGAGTTGAGCACTTCTGGAATCATTTTCTGCAGAAACATTCTTCAAATTTCTTTTTTTGGGTTGATAATTTTTCTACAAAAATTCAATATTATATGAGATAACAAAAATTTGGTACTATACATTGAATTATTGAAGACAAAATATTGTTAATAAACAAAAACCATAGTACAATAATTTTATGAGCAAAAAAGATATAATTTTTTGATTAATTTTTGCTAATAGAAAGTGAATGACTTAAAAGATGTCTAAAACGTTATGAGAAATTAAATTGAATTAAGTAGAATATGTAACAGTAAGTGACAACATAACGAAACAAAATGAAAAGAATTCAAAGATCAACCCACACTGAAGACAGCACAGATATCACCATTTGAGGGAGGCACGTTTTCACCGATGCACTTGCTCACTTCCTGCAAAGCATTGCCTTTATCTTCTTGGTCATTGTTGGAAGATGCTGAGTTTTTACAGTTATCAATGTCAAAAATTTTTTTCAGGGCTTCTATCAACTTGTCGCTCTAAAAATGAAAACAAATATTACAACCACCAGAAAATATGTAAAATTATTTAAAATTTATGAGGGCATCAATGATTTGGCTAGCCTTCAATCTAAATAATTAAGCAATACAGCTTTAAACTTATTGGTAATCACTTTTTAAAGGGATGTAGTGAGGCTATTAAAAGGCAAAATCTTTAAAAGGGTGAAACACCATGTAAGCATATTACAACATATTTTATTACCCTATACAAAATTTAGAATGTCACTCCATACTTTTATAAAAATTAGGATTTTATGGAGATCTTGAAATAAACTGTTTATTATAGCATTAAAACACCATAGAATAAAGAAATGAATGCTTCAAACAAAAACAAGAAATAAAGTTTTATTAATATTAATGTCATTCGTTTTTTGACTTTTTAAATCAGCAACCTTTTAATGTAGCAAGTCAAAACTTAGTGATGCACAAAAAGGTTAACCAAAAAATGCTTCAAACATTGTATGGAAATTTTAGCCTTTGAATATTTAAAATATAAATATTTTTTTCGCTTTACTTTGAGCGATGCCTAGTGGTTAAGGTTGCCTGGTGACGTCACGAAAGTGACAGGATTCGAATAGGACAAAAAGTTTCTGCTTTTGCGAAACATTTTTTAGTCCATATTTATGTATGCTGTTTGTGTTGTTGACTCCTCTTAGCTTTGAAAAAGTGTGATAAACCTGTTTTCAATGTTTATGTTTAGCCTTAACAATACATATTAATTAAATCAAATTATATTTAGTCAAATTTTCATAGCCATTGTTGCTAACTTCACAATTGCTAAAAAAAATATCACATCTCAGAACTGCGAGTGATAACAAGTTGAATATGTAAACTTTTATTAAGTTCTGCTTTTGAGCAGGTTCTGTATTCTACCACTTCCATTCTTCTCTGTTTAAAGTGACAAAGAGGAATAAATATTTGCTGTTGAGATGAAGTGGAGAGATGCGCAATAGATTTAATTTAACACAAACGCTGAATAATAAACTCAACGTTCTTACTGTTTTGTGTTAATTATTACTAAAACTACTTTTTTATGTACTCTACTGACGAGTCTCGTGAGACGAAACGTACGTCTGGCCTTTGGCGGGTAATGGTTTACCAATAATACCTCTTGCGACTGAATGGGTTCTAAAACCTTTTAACAACGAGATGTTGTTCTTACCTAGTGGTCGCAACACCTTAATTTGAGTTTCTTGGTTAAAATAGTTGTGTTATCTCAAGCCTTATTCGACAGGCTACTGACGAGTCCCGTGAGAGACGAAACGTATGTCTGGCCTATGGCGGGTAATGGTTTACCAACAATAACAATTGAATATGTACAATATTTTTCCTAATGTTTTTTTAAATTTTATGAAGGATAAAAATATATTAACTGCATGTGTATGAGAATGATGGATTATAAATAACATGCCAGCTGTATCAATACTTATTGTTGTTCAAATTTTTCTGGCATTTGAATTGACCACTCCAAATTCAATAAGCATTTCTAGCTTCACTGACACGACCAGCATATGCAAACACACACATTATTTTTATTTATTTACTTTTAACTACACTTAGTTAGCATTAAGATTAATAAGCTTTTCAAAATTTTAAAGGTTACCCGTGAAGTCTTTTTTCATTTTTGGCTTTAGTTCATTTAATTCGGTGAATGTGAATTAAAAATGAAATGAATTTCAATTACATTTTAGTTTAATTAAACAAACTAAAAAAATAATGACTTAGGAGGCAAACGTTATCTTTCTGACCAACACAGATTATTAAGCTAAGCATGATGATGTTGTAAAAAGTTAATAATTAACTTAAACGTCTTTATTAAATTAATAAAAGTTAATAAAAAAAAAACTAGCTAGCCTAATGCTAAAGCTAAACCCTAATTTTATTCAAATTTTAAGCATTAAATTGTTTTACTGCTACAACATATGCAGAGCATCAGGCTTATGCATAATTAACTGCGTTGGGCAAGAAACTTAACGCTCACTCCGAATTATTTTTATTCATTTCATTGCTACCGTACTTTTTGATTGCCTTTTATCCCGTAAGATTTAGCCAACTTTTGTAGATCGGCATATTTCATACCTTCCAGATTCATATTTACTATGATTTGGAGTGAAATGAACCGCAAAAGTTTTACTATTTATACGATAAATAATTTAAATAAAACGAACACCAGCACTTCAGAGTGTTGTTTGAGGAAATTGAATAATAGCACCAAAAAAACTTTAATCTGATTGGTTGGAAATACAAAGTGCCGCGCACAAGCAAATGTTGTAGCGGTGACGCACGAATTCATCGAATGAAAACAAAATATTGCAAACTCGCGAGCTCCATCAACATTTCAGTGTACATTTGGCGAGGCCCCAGTTGGAGCTCTTGAATATTTTACGACCAGCTTTATCGAATAAATGGTGGCAAGTTTTGGCTTGTTTAAATTCAAAATGTGTTAAATTAATAAAAAGCATATATGCAGAAACCAAAAGGTAATCGTAGTGCTTTACATTTTATAAGATATAATTATAAAACATTATATCATTTTAATATAAAAAAAAAGAAAAAAATTAATAAAAATGCCTATATAAATAGACTTCATAGTCACTTTGAATAACTTATCTGTCCTTTGCCTCGTTTCGAACAATGCTAGCGAAATGGGTTAAAATATTTTTTTCGGTAATATTTTACCCTCAATTATGTTAAAATAAGAGAAAACAGTTAACATAATGATAACTAGGTGTCTGACATTCTGCAATCTTTAAAAAGAAATTAAAACTATTTCTGTTGTTGAATGACCAATGACTAACCGTAAATCAATATAGATATGGAGATCTGTTTTTCAATTTTTATTTGTGCCTTAATTGCCATTGTTTAGTTCACATTTGTGTTTAACTTTTAGAGCAATGTTGTTCTATATATTGCTTAAATATATAGATAACTATGTAATGTCTATCCCGTGTTTTTCTGGATAGATACCAAACATTGTTATACATAAACCATGAACCATCGTGCTAACAACTAACACCCGTTTTGCTAACATTGTTGAGTTTGTTAATTTACTAACAACTAACATCTAACATGCCTCTCATGGATCATTTAGAAAAAATTTTTATTATATGCTGAAAATTTGTGTGAACTTGGAACATTTCTGTTTAAATGGCCATACTAGATGAATTTTATATAAATTCTATTATGGTCATCCTGCTTTCTTTTAATTTTCAATTTTGAGAAGCAAATAAAATTTCGTTTCGTTTCGTTTCGAATGTGAAGAGATCCCCATCTGTCACGTGTAGAAGTGTGTGATGCGTTGAATCATGTGTGTTTGTACACTATGTGTTTGTTGTAATAATAATAATGCGCCTCAGTTGCTTGCCATGGAACCATGTAAAATGACATTATTTTATTTATTTTTTGTTTGATTGTTATTGAAGCGCTTGTACATAAAAGATACTTGCATCTAATTACAAGGGAGGTGTGATGACGTTGTGGTTAAGGACGCCTGATGCTGTTTCTTTCGTTGGGCGTTCCAGTGACCTAGTTCGAATATGAAAAAATGATGCAAGTCCACAAAACTCCCAGGGCGTAGTGAGAGGGGCGTAAGGTACACCATCAGGAACCGGAGAACGCCAAAATATATTTTTTGGCCTAAAAAGGTAAGAGAGATGCATTCCATCAGGTGAAAAAAATATTGAACGGTTCGTGTGTAATAATATTCAATAATATCAATTTTATCTATCATTTTAATTATATTTGAAATTTTATTTGTATTAATCGCGTTTTTAATGCATTTTTATCCCTACCATTTTTATAGAATATTATAGAATAGAATGTTATATTCTATATATATGATCCCTATATTTTCCACAACATCGGTTTTGCGTTTAATCACCCATATACCATATATCCAGCGTTAAACAAAGAATTGTTTAAAAAATAAACATGCATTGTTTACAAATTGAGAAACCACTCATTAAACTTGGTAGGTGTTATTGCAGCCAAGCAAGATCCAATCATCGTTACATGTTTAGAAACAGTTGAAAATATAAATCTTTTATTTTTCATATTCAGCATCACGATGGGAGTTGTTAAAAATGTTTTGAATAGAACTCTTAAACGTATATCTAATACGAGATGGAGCGCTAGAGTACAAAGGGTTACCGTAATCGTCGAATCATAGTTGACTGACATCAAGTTTAAATTTGTGTATTAGAGTTTCAGTTTGTTCGACTTAGAGGTTAGAGCAGTGCAATTTAGAAAGGACCGGACATCTACTAAGATCAGTGGCAACCATGGATATATATGTATCCATGGCAGCAACATCAGACCTAATCATGTCTAATATGCTTTATTGCGCATGATTTTGGATATGTGATTCTCAAAATTTTAAAATTTGTCAAACGTAACACCGAGCAACTTGATAGCGTTCGAGACTGGTAACGCAGATCCAGCTATGTTCAGTTCCTCATTCAAACAAAAACTTTGGCAGTTGTTGATGTGTTCCAACTGTGTTCAAACTTTTTTGGCTTATAAATTTTTTCAAACAACTTTAAATGTATTTTCAGACAGGAAAAAAATCTTTATCTTTTAGTTTAACTTTCAGGCATGATCAAGTTAATTCGTTTGACGTTTCACCATTAGAAAAATTGCAATGCTCTTATTCTTCATAAATAAATATAAATCCTTCGGATTTTGTAAACTTTGAATAATAAACTGTTTTATCTTCAAAATCCTTAAAGAATTCTTGAAATCGTTTACAATAAAATTTTCACATGTTATATTGATTTTATTAATAATTAAAATGGTATTTGTCTTTACATGAAATGAATGTTTTTTTCCACTTCGATTTTATCGAGAATGTTTATCGTTTTCATGATATCAGAGTTTGATGTCACATACTGCAAAACTTTCATTCTCTGGTTTATTTTGATCATCACATAACTATTTTATGTATTCTAACAGACTTTGTAAGATGTGTATGTGCATATTTTTCGATATTGAAATTACTTTAAAATCTCTTCATTAATTTTAATGATTTTCAATGTAACCGTAATTTGATGTGATTCGGTAATGAAATACTATATAGCCAAATTGTATTTTTATTTCTTGATAGCAGCAAGGAATAATCTTACAATGTGTAAATAAATTACGATCAAATCATGTAAAAACCATACTATTATTACGGTGTTCATGTTTTGTGCTCCACCATTATTATATCGCTAGTTGTTGGTTTAATGTTTCTCAATTTGTTTGTTGGGGGAACTAATTTTATTCGCTTTGCTTATTACTACCTCTAAGCCTTCCATAATTATTAGAGATGAAGCGAATGAATGTTAGTTGATTGCTACATTAACATACGTCTTATTGGCGACCGTTGTGATAGCCTTTTATTAACCAACAACTATTATTTAAGTAAATAAATTTTAAACAAATATAAAAATAATGTAAGTTTCGATGTGGTGCAATGTGTCTGCCGTTTGATTTGTGTCCCTCGTTTACAAATGAGTCTGTTTTTACATGCCTGTATGTATGTGTATGTCTTTACCTATGTGTTATTATGTCACTCCATCTTGCGTCTGAGTCTTAACATCTGTGTCCAATTATCAAGTTTAACTTAGTTCGAAATCACGCGGGCTCCTAACTCGTGGCTTAACTTAAAGTTTAGTTTATTCCTCTGAGGAATGTCAATAGAGTGAATAACATAATAATAATAATAATAATAATGGGAACTCTTTTATTTTTTCAAAAACGGGGCAAAATAAATATTCAATGAAATAAAATAAAATAAAATGAATTAAAATGAGAAAGTAGTCTACGATGCTCGCCATTATAGATATAAAATGCGTACAACGAGAAATGTAATCAGTCTTAATATAGTTATTATACATTTGAATGTCTGTCGCAATAGATGGCGTATAATGATGATATAATAATAATAATAATAATGGGAACATGGATTTCATTTTTTTCGGTAAATACTTTTATTTTTTTCGGTAAATAAAAGTATTTACCGAAAAAAATAAAATCCAAATGAAATCAATCGAAAATTATTAATTATATATCAGAGTGTAAATAAATAAGATGTTAAATATAATGTACGATCCTCTCATGCTCTTTGATCAACAAGTGCTTGAGAGTGAAAAAAATTTATTTAAAATCGGTTAAGTAGTGTTTCTGCCACATTATTATTATTATTATTATTATTATTATTATTACGGAAATTTATGTACAGCGCTTTTTAATAGTTGAATATCAAAAGCGCTACTGAATCATAGACAAATAAGACGGACGTTCATTGTGCAAATAAATAAGTTTTAAGCTGACTTCGAAATTGTAAATATGGTAGGTTAGGGTCACGTAAGTAAGGATCGTAAGCAACGATATCCACAATCCTCACAATTTCAGAATTAAACAAATCTAACAGGGTATTAGCGAAAGATGAATTGAACGGTCCTGAAATAGATGAATCGAGAACTAGTGAACAAAATTGATTTTCGTTGATTTGATTCCATGAACGAGTAAGTTTCCATTTATTCCGAGGTAAGGGAACTGAAATAGGGAAACAAATTTTAACTAAACTGTGGTCTGGAGTACACATTTGGTGGCTCAACGCAAAAAAATTGTGAGGGAAGGTCAGAACTAGAGGCACTTAGATCTAACGTTCACCATGAACGTGGGTTGGTTCATTTATTCTATTTATCAATTGATATAAATCAAAAATTTCAAACAATTTCAATGCATTAGGGTCGTTCAAAAGTTCAACATGAATATTCACGTCTCCAACAAAAATAACAATTTGCTAAAAGCAATATTTGATCAAAGACAGATGATAACTCATCAAAAAACAATGGTAATGGAAGAGAAGACCTAGGACGATAAATTGCGAAAACGACAATAGTCACTTTGCTGAAATAAAATTTTACATCTATAGCTTCAAACGTCTTAAATAAAGGCAGTGGAATTCTATAAAATTTAAAACAATTTAAAAAAAAACACAATTATTCCACCGTGGTGAGGGTCGGTCGACCTCAAAAAATCTATGAACACAAAATCAGGTGGCAGAGTGAGTCTAAGTGATAAATTTTCGGAAGACCCATGCCAGGATTCCGTAACATCATTATGTTATTCTCTCTCTTTCATGTCATTAACATTGGTTAAAGTTTTTTGAAACTTTTAACCTCATCATAAACTAGTTCAATACTTTTCTTCACTTCACATCTGACAGCATCAGCAAAACTTTTGCTTAAATCATTTTTAAGGCTACACAGTTCAGTACTCAAATCAGTGCCATCAAATTTTTCTGCCTTATCAATATTTTTCTGAATTAAACGTTTGATAGCCACAAGTCCACTCCTCAACAAAATGTTCGATTCATCAATTTTGTCAATTCTAGTGTTGAGCTCATTATTGCTATCACGCACAGCTTTATTTAATGACTTTACGTCAGGAAGTAGTTTCATGCATTCATCACAATACCACTTAATATTAGACATGGAACTGATAAATTTGAAGGCTGATTTATTTATTCCGACACAGTCTTGGTGAAAAGCGAGTTGACATTGAAAGCACTGAATGGTCTCTTTATCCTCTACATTTCTAAAACATTGACATCCTTTAATCGACATTATTATTTCAAAAAGAATGTTTCCTAGTCAATTAATAAAATTATATTATAAATGTATATGCTATATGACGAGCAAATTACCGCGTTAATCAATTTTTCATTAAAAGATTTTGGTCATAAAATTTTAAACAAAGTTAGATTAAAATTGTTATAAAAACCCAAGTGATATTTCAAATGAATTAATAATTAACGAACAGTTATTATAGACTAAATTTAAGTTTAATTTCAAGTTTTTATATTTCTGGCGTTTGTATTCACCTATGGAAGCTAGGCTGGTTTCGTGGCAAATTGTGTGCTCTAAAATTTCGATTTTGTTTTTTTGGAGAACGGCAATGTCCGGCCGCAACTTGTCGAACAACTGTGACATTGGACGTACATTTTCTGCATTAAGATCGGCAAATATGCAACAGTCTGATGGTGCACAAATCTTTAACCAGTTGACAATCAAAGACAGCAGTTTGTTATGCCTGTCCGTGTACCTTGCGAGAGCCGTCGTAGAATCACAGTTCGAAACAACATGTTTATATGTTTAGCGATAACTGTATAGTGGACATGGAAATGTTGCTGACTTACCCCATTTAAATAAGTTTGCATTAGTGGGAAGCTGTTGTATTAAATATTTTCTAGTAAACTTATAGTATAACTTATAATAATAATATTTATGAAAAAATATTCATCGTTGTCATAAAAAGACAACTTTTCCATAAATTTATTTGTCATTATTTAGACCTTAGATAAAAAAAATTAAGCTGACTGCAATTTTATAAATTGAATTGGATTATTGTCATCCTTATTTAATATTTATGACTAACGTGAACAAATTGTTAAAAAAATGAAAGATTATTTAAAACTTTCAGAAAAACCGACAAATAATTTCAGTGAGTTTGGAGAAATGAAAAAAGAAAATGATTTCAATTCCAATCCGCAGCTTGCCAAAGAAAAGAGTTTTTTAAAAAATATTGCCGCCGATTTTAATAAAGAAATTGAACTAAATAGCGAATATGATCCTTCCCAAAATAAGCGTTCTTTTTTGGACGGTTTGCCCAGTTTTTATATTATAATTTTTTTTTTACGAAAAATGTTTTTGTAAGGTTGAATTTTTAATATTTATGTTATTATAAATGTATTAATTATTAATAGCAAAAAACAAAAAGTTGATCGTGATTCAAATCGACAGCTTTTAATTTTGATACAAAAATTAAGCTGACATTTAAAATTTATTTTAGCTTACGTTGCTAAATGGACACCGTGGTCAAGCTGCAGTGTCACATGCGGTCAAAATGGTTTGAAAACGCGTATGCAAGTTTGTTTGCCAGGCTCCATGGTGGATGAACCGCTGTGTTCACGTGAAGGTTCAAAGTTGAATGAAGAATCCGTTCCTTGTGGAACTGATGTGGAATGTGAGGATTTACTGGGAGGTTGGCAATCAATTCATTTTCTCATCTTAAAATATATATAATATTTATCCGTTTCAAAATATATTCAATAAATAACATCACCGAAATTTCATTCAATTTTGAAATATTGTGAACTTTAATTGCTTTGTTACAAATTTTTTAATACAGTTTTGTTCTATGATTGTTACAGTTCAATCAATGGCAAACCAGACCGCCTGGTATGAAGATGGCGTCTACGTTTTTGTGATCTGTGGACTTTGCTTAATACTTTTTATAATGATCGTTCTGTTTCTTGTCAGTTTGTTAGTTTTGAATCGTTAATAATTATTAGTTAACAGTTAAATAGCTGAAACTCTTAATTCAGTGTAAGAAAAAAATTTGCAAACGAAACAAAACGCAATGAAGTTTGCAATGGAAACTTGATCAATCCATCATGGAACAAATTATTAGCTCCGTATTTATTTTACCGCGAACCACTGCAAAGCCAATCTCAAACTAATTTGCCAATACAAAATCAAATTTATCCAAGCATTCCCATACAAAACCAAGTTTATTCCAACAGAACAGTTTGTAACCAACCTCCTTATACCGTACAAGAATTCAGTTTTTTACAGCCTAAAAATACTGCAGCCGTATATTCAAGTACATCAGTTCCAAACTCTTTGCCTCCTGCATTTCTTTCAGCGCACGGAGAATTGAACAACTGTCAATGTTCTCAACAATTTTTCAACCATCGTTCCAATTCATCTGTTTTACATCCTGTTCAGCAAATTCCATCAATGCAAAAATACTCGTGTATGTCTCAAATAAATGCTCTTCCTATTTCTAAACGATACACATTTGAAAACGAAAATTCTATCTGTGAGGAAGATAAAGAAATTCAAGATAATATTTTTAAAGACAATCTTGATAAATGCCGAAAAGAATTGAACGAGTTAAATGATGAATTAAACAAGGAAGAGTGTAAAGATAACTTTAAATTAACCAAAAAACAAATTGATTTACTAAAACGTCTCCACAGTTGTTTGGAAAAACAGAAACCAAGATATCATGCTAAAAAAAATAAACAAAATCAATCTCTTAAAAACCGTGATAATGAATCTCTTATTAGAGCAATTGAAAAATTAAATTGTACTTTGGAGAAAAAATATAGAGCCAATAATCAATCAGTTTGCAGTTCATCATTTCAGAAACCTGATGATAGGTTTTCAGAAAAGAAATTTGAAACTCCAAACGACTGTACAAAAAATGATGTTGAAATACGTAAACGAAATAGACAAAACGTCGATAATTGCCGAACAAATCAAAGAGGATCGTACGATTTGCAACCAAAAAAGCGTTGCTGCTACAAGCGTATAGTCGAGAATGATTCTGATGATTACAGTGATCGAAGATCTAGAAAAAATAATAGATGTAAAGACACAGATAAATCCACAAAATCATCGCCATCAAGAAAAAATTCAAGTAAGTTCAGCGATATTTTAAAAGAAAGAAATACTGGAAGAGAAGAAGAAATAAAAAATTCAAACTTACAAAAAGGTAGAAAAAACCATAAAGAACGTTTTTCTGATAATTTTAGCCCAAACAAAGAAGAAACAAATACCGAAAGAAGTGTAAAAAAATCAAAAACGACAACTAACAACGATTCTTTACCACCTTCAAAAACTCAAGTCAAAAGTGATAAAAAAGGAAAACTAGAAAAAACAGATTCTGGCAGTGGCAGGCATCAAAATCAGGAAAATTTTGACACGGAGAGGCACCGAAAGAAACAAACTTCTGACAATCTTATGCAACAAAAGCAGCCAACGTCTGACAATGATAGGCAGAAAAAACGACAAGTTTCTTCTGATAAACATCAGAATTTGCAAATTTCTGACGATGATAGACAAAAAAAGGGGCAAATTACTGACAATGAAAAGCAAAGAAAACAGCTAATTTCTGACAACAATGAACAGCAAAATCAACAAATTTCTGACAACTATAGAAAACAAAAACAACAAAATTCTTTGAATAAACGTGATGAAATTAAAAAGATTAGTAGCGTTGAAAATGAACATGACAAACTAAAACGGTCGACTGCTTCCGATGAAAAATCAAATGTTTATTCCTATGATGATGAATTAAGCGAACTTTACAGTACAGATCAAGATTCAGTTGTTTCTGATAACGAGTACGACGATGGCGAATCTTTTGATGATACACAAGGTAAAGCTACGAAAACTCCTCCACATCAAAAATCTTCACCACAAAAATTTTCAGAACAAAAGCATTTGTCACAAAATCCAGCAAAAAATTTGTCTTCACCCAAAGCAGGAAATCCAGCAAACACAAAAAATTCCAATATAAAATCCGGTAAAGGAGCTCATTCGAAGAATGTTAATCGTAATTCTCTTGCAAATACCTTGAGATTAGCTGACTTAGGCAATGATGATAGCAGGCAATCCAGTAGTGCTGACGAAATGCAAGACCAAGATTATGTCTACAATAGAAATAAGAACGCAGACTACGCGAATCGTTTATGGCAACAATGTTATGAAAAATTAATTGGAGGAGCATCTTCTAAACCAAGTCCACCACTGCCGTTAGGGAATTTTGAAAAAAAACAAGAATTAGATGCAATCGCTACACATATTCCTTTTCAACATTTTGATAATTCATATAAACCAGCTTTAACCTCATATTATAAAAATTTCAACAATAGTCCGAATAGGCATGTACAAAATATTCTACAATCGCCAAGAAATAAATCATCCCCTTCAGGACAACCATACCCTAGGCCAAACTATACAGTTAGAGCAGTTATGGAAACAAAAAAGTGTGAACATAATAATTATTTTAAAGAAAAAGAATTTGCGAAATATAAAAATTTTAAACGTCGCACAGCTAATGCTAACGAAAGCAACAACGTCGCACAAGCATCAAACGAAAGTAACAAAGCTCGTGGACAAACTCTAGATCGTCCAAATGATTATATCTGCAGCAACAAATCCAAGCATTCAAACTTTCAAACATCAACCTTCTGCAATAATTGCAACAACAACTTAACACTTGATCAATGCAGTTTCGAAACTCAATCCACAAACAATGAAGTAGTTTTAGAAGGAAAACTTGAGGAAAACGAACGTAGTTCCACTAACATTAGCACAGATATATCAAAATGCATTACTATCGACCTTCCGTCAAAATCATCGTTGAGTGATATTTCTTTAGAAAGCAATAATTCATTCAATCGGGATATTCACAGTGAACATTCAACGTTTAGAAGTGATGAGAATGAGGTTGATAACAATGGCAGCGTTATTACAAAACTGAAAAAAAGACAAACTCCATTTGCAAAAACTCTCAACTCAGAGACATCGCAAATAGAATCTTATAAACTAAACAGTTCTAGATCAAGAAATGAAATAAACAACGCTCTAGCCTTAAATTTTAACGACGAAAATGGTAAATTTAATTCAACAATAAAAAATAATTTATCATTATTTAACGATTTATTTGTTCAGAAAATAATTCTAGATGATATTTTTATGATATCATTTTGAAAAAAAGACCGGTGGTTTCTATTGATAAATTTGTGATTTATATTTAAAAGTTGATAATAAACGTTATAATCAAACTAGTTTATACTTCCTATGTGTATGAGAGTCACCAAAAGTGGATTAAAACGTGCTCGCTAATTTGCTTACACGTGTGTATAACGTGATCTAGCGTTTCCCAGTACCAATTTACAACCGTTTTTCTTCATTAATGAGACGTATTTATTTATTTTGAAGTATTTTGATGACTGATAAATGTTGCTTAAAGTAGAATTATAGAACAGACCAGTGGCGGTATTTGTATTAAAAGGCAGTAAAAATGATTGTTTAAACGGGAAAAGACGTAAAACTTAGACGAAAATGAAGAAAATAAGAAAAAGGTCGTCAGTAAAATTGTCAAAAATGTTGGCTCCCCTCAAAATTTTTTCCGCCGGTCAAAATCGAAACATTTTTGAAAATCCACCCGGTCAAAAACTATTTAAAAATAAAATCTTTCACATCCGGTCAACGTTAACATTTCAAAAATTGTCTAGATACGCCACCAGATAATATAATAATAGTAGGATAATCCAAGATATCAAAATTACAAAATTTTCAAATTTGATATTAACGAAGTCCATTTCAGTGTGGAAAAAAAACTAAAAATCCAAACATTATTTGATTGTATATACTTTTACAAACAACAAAAATACTTCAAAATATATATTTAAATATATGATGGTTATGAGTTTTAAAATTAATTAAATTTCAACATTGAAATTTCAAAATGTTATAATATAATATAAAAAACATAAAAAATAAATTTATAATTGATAAGTTACAAAAATATCGAATAAATTAACAATTTGCTGAAAAGAATTTTGTTCGTAATTACGAAATTAAAAAATTAGCATGTACGTTATAATATAAAACAACTTAAACATCAGGAATTATAATGCTTGCTGGACAATGATTTCAGCGATTATAAAGATTTCTATTCAATTTTAAACGGTGCTTGAATTAAATCGTATCGTAAAAACCCCTCTTTTTATTTAAATTTATTTATTTGTTGAATGTTTGCCTTAAAATACACATACCCTTGTAAATTTCGACTAGCTAGTTGTAAAAAAAATCACGTGAAAAGACAAACTGTTCAAGCTGTTCGTGTCAAACAATCAAAATATTACCAATCGCTGTTAAATTTAAGGTCTAGTAAGCCAAAACAATAATGGAAAATTTTTTCGTCATTATTTGGTGAACAAAAAATGCATGTACGACTGCTTCGGCGTCCGGTGAAAAGACCACCGGTAAAAGACCGCCGGACAAAAGACCGCCAGCGTAAAGTCGCAAAACATTAAGATCGCTAACACAAAGGTCGCAAACCAATAAGGTCGCATGATGCAGAAATCGCAAAGCAATAAGACCGATAATATTGATAATAATAATAATCGACCCATAAAAAAATCTTCGCATTTTATTACTAACCTGTGATTTTATTTCTCGCTCTAAACAACCAACAGCTGTTTAGAATTACAAACCGCGCTTTTTTTTAAGCAAAGTATAAAAATTATATTTAATAACTTCTTTATAGAATATCTTTGGTATAAAACATCTTCTCGTCCTGTGAAAGTCGTGAGTTCGATTCATAGTTCGGGCAACCTACATATGTTGAGGGATTAAGTGCATAAACATTCGTAATGATCGTGTTATTTGTGTCATTGGAAATGGATTTAAACTCTATAAAACGCATGTGATTGATTTTATATAAATAATGGAAATTATAAGCATATACAAAAACTTTATTAAATATAAATATTTTTAAATCACACACGTAATTTTTACTTCATTTTTATAATTTTTGTAATTTCGGGGGGGAGGGGTTGAACCCGTAAACCCCCCCCCCCCCTAAACACGGCCTTGTGTCGACGTCATAATCTTGTAAATAAAAACATTATTTTTTAGAAGATCGTTTTGTTGACCATGTTTTCGATTTCAGTGCAGTATGTACATATAATTTCAAACCATTTTTAACCTTTCTACTTATAACGTCCTTAATGTCAGGCGATCTTAATGCTTGGCGACCTAACGTCCGGCGGTCTTTTGTTCGGTGGTCTTCTGCTGGCGACCTTTTCACCTAAATCCGCTGCTCCACCGACCGCAGCTCAAGAGTTTTTAACACTTCTAAAATCAAAGTCCAAACCATCAGCCGGTGAGATTGTTAATCTACCAAAATTTAGATCGACAGCGAGTTGTTTCCATCAAGCAAAGAACATTTGGTCCAAAGAAAAATAAATGTATATTATAAATCATAATGTTTTAATATAAAACATAAAACTTAACACCTTCTCATTTTATTTAAAACATTAGATGACCTTAACCTAAATGTTCTGAAGACCCATCGCACACATCAAATTCTTTAGTCTTGGTCCTACCATTGGTTTTGTCAGAAAGAAATGTCTAATGTGGATGTGCTTTGTTCTTCTGTGAAGTTCTGGATTGTGTGCTAAACTTCATTGTCGACAAAAATTTCTGGCTTATTCTTTAGATCTACAATGTCGTTCAACAATCGTTTGAGCCATATCACTTTACGAGCTGCTTCACTTGCGGCAACGATTTCTGCTTCAGTAGTTGAAATCGCAACTGAGGGTTGACGTTGGCTAAACCAACTGATCACGCTTCCTCCAAACATACAGATTACACCTCATGTCGATCTTCCACTAGATTTATCTCCTCCATGATCTGCATCACTGTAGGCTATAAGTGTATTGTTTTGACCAGACTTGTAAACAATACCGACATCTGAAAATTTGCTTAACTTGTGCTACATTGGACTTGCTGGGTTTCTCTAAACTTCTGGATGCTACTCCAACTGCATATGCAATATCTGGTCTTGTTCCCGTCATCAAGTACATCAATGCACCAACTGCTGATCTGTAAGGAAATTTCACTTCCTCATGTTCATTTTTGTTTTCATCGAACTCCTCAGATTTTGAAATCGGAGTTGTACAGGATTTACACTGACTCATCCCAAACTTTTCAGGAATCATTCTTGTATAGGATGACTGACTGACATAAATATTTCCCTTCTCATCTTTATTAATCTCTAATCCAAGAAAATATGTTGCAGGTTTAGATGTTATCTTGAACTCTGACTTTAATTCTTTTTCAAATATTTTTAGTTCTTCTTTATCGGTTCCTGCAACTAGTCCACCATCAACATACAGTGCAAGTATGAGTTTCTTTTCTCCCTGTATTCTAATGAACAAACAAATATCTGCATCGCTTTGTTTGAAATGTCTCTTTTTCAAGAATTCAGCAAAGCGTTTGTTCCAACATTTTGGAGCTTGTTTAAGTCCATAGAGACTTCGCTTGAGTTTACAGACTCTTCCTGAATTATCTTTAAAACCTTCAGGTTGCTCCATGGAAATATCTTCATCTAGTTTGCTGTATAGAAAAGCTGTTGACACATCAAACTGCATGAGTGACATCTTTTCATTTGCAGTAACACTTAATAGTGTTCTTATAGTTGAACTTCTGACTACAGGACTATAGGTTTCTCCATAGTCAATTCCCTTTTTCTAAAAAAAACCTTTTACCACTAGCCTGGCTTTAAAACGTTCAACAGAACCATCTGGATTGTGTTTTACCTTGTAGACCCATTTGCATGGTATTGCCTTATGACCTTTTGGAAGACTTACCAAATCCCACGTTTGATTTTCCTTTAATGACTGCATTTCACTGTTCATGGCTTTAAACCATTCATCTTTTTCATCACTTTGAATGGCATCTTTTAGCTCACTGGTTCAAGTACTTCACATAATGCAGACATAACGAAAGGATCATAACGAGATGGCTTTTTGATATTATTCCTGTCACGTAAAACCATACCTTTGGTCTTTTGATTACAACAGTCAGATTGATCTTCTTCATCAGATGAATTACGGTTGTGAACATCTTCATCAGTTGAAATATTTTCTTTAATCAAAGTTTTTTTATTTTCATCTTTGATTTCAACATCAATCGAAACTGTATCATCTGAACAACTTTCTTCTTGCAAAATCACTGAATTTGGTTTGACAACCTTCTCATCAAAAATAACATCTCTTGATCGATGCATTTTAACACGTTTCTTATTCTGATGTCCCATTCTTTCATGGTATAACTGCAATGCATCTTGATCATTGACAAAGTTAACTTCGACTTCAGAATTCAACGGTCTAAACTGTTAGACCGTTGAATTCTGAAGTCGAAGTTAATTTTGCAACAAGTTTGAACAAACCTCCATTGTTTTTTCTTATTCCAACAACATTTATCACATTGTCAATAAGTAGATGACAACTTCTTGAAGAGCTATTTCGGTTCTTATCTTGAGTTGCAAGTTCTGAGAACAAATTTTTTTTTACTTTTGGCACATACAAGACATCTGTAAGTTTAACAGTTTGCCATCACTTTCACTTGAAGATGAATAATTCCTTTTCCAAAAGATTCTACAGTATCACCATTTGCAACATATAATTTACTCGGTTGAGAAAATTTTTCAAAACTTTGAAATATGTCTCTTCGGAAAGTTAGATGACACGTTGCACCATTGTCAAAAAACCATTCATCAGTGTTCGCTGACTCATCAATTGAAAAAACACTTGATCCCATAACAACTAGTGACTTATTGTCACCGCGTAGATTGTTATTTCTTGGTTTTGCTGGTCTACCATCAGAATGCCATTTTTCACAATTTCTTACAATGTGACCTGGCAATTTGCAATAATGACATATCAGTCGCTTTGGGTTGCTGACAAATTTATCTTGTTTTTGACCATTCATGTTTAGTGATGATGACCTTTTAGTTGTTGCTTTGACAAATAATACTTTATTACATTCTGTTTTGCCTTCCAAAGATCTCTCATAGCTACACAGTTGATCTGTGAGTGTTTCGACTGTTCTTTCAGTCTTGTTCAACAATCTCCAACTTGCAGCAAATGAAAAATATTTTTCTGGCAAAATTTCAATTATTTGGCACATCAGCAACAAGTCACTGTTTTCATCTTTTCCTAACTCAACCTTTAAATCTTTCCAAAGATTCTTGAGTTTTGTGACATGAGTGACAACATCATCGCTTTCATCTATTTTATAACTAAAGAACTTCATGCACAAGTTGTATGCTTTATCTTCATTAACTTCATCATACAATCTGTGAAGTTCTAACCAAACATCTCTGGCATTACTGAATGAACGAACTTTTTCATACGTTTCATCGGTCATGTTGGTTGACAGAACAATCATAGCACTACAATCTGCTCTGTTGAATCTGTTCAAAGCAGTTTGATATTTTGCTATCTCATCTTTATTTGAGTCATCGTTCGATTCATCTGGAACTTTTAATTTGCCATTTACTACATCCATTGCATCAGGAATGCCGCGTAGTATTATACAAACCCTCGATTTCCAGTTCAACCAATTACTTTTGCCTTCTAGGTGTTTGATTTGCACTTTTGTTAAATCCATTTCTTTCTTGTCTTTTCAATTTGACATTTTAATTAGAAGCAAAATATCGATTTTCAGAGAATGAAGAAGCACGTGCTTTCTCTTCACTTCAGTCTTCACAAAGGAATCTTCTGATATTTCTTTATTCTAAATTTTTTTCGTTAAATCAATTAATTAAAAAAAAACGTTATCTGGACCCATAACCTGTTAAATTTCTTGTTACGTAGATCGTTTAATTAATTGATATAATATTGAAAGACATTAAAAGAAGAGAAATAAACCAAGCAACGTTCTCGACTTGTTTATTATCCCCCGGATCAACAGAAAAGGAAAAAGTGAAGTTAAATACAAAGCAAAGAACATTTGGTCGAAAGAAAAATAAATGTATATTATAAATCATAATGTTTTAATATAAAACATAAAACTTAACAAACAGACCCATTTCGAATTTTACTTTTGTCTCCAAAACAATTAAAAGAATCGTCGCTTTCCAGCTCCTCGCTTACCTGAACAAAGACTCACTACTTCCAAAAGGTTTTCAGTGAGCATATTCAACTGAGACAGCGATCTTGAAGGTGGTTTAAGATGTGTGTGATACCGTTGATACTGGTAACATATCATTACTGGAACTTCCCGATGCTGTTTTTGGCACAGTTGACCACCAAATTTTCCTTAGAAGAATTGACTACTGCAATGCGATTATGTTTGATGATTTGAGGTTTGTTCTGAACATAGCAGCAAGAATTGTTGTTGGTTATTCAAAATTCAGTTTAATATTATTATCATCATATCAGGAACAGATCTCAACTGGCTCCGCATGCCAGAAAGAATCGTTTTCAAATTAGCTCATCTAGTCAGAGATTATTTCCATTTTTTCTATTGCATTTACATATAATTAATAGTATTTGGAACTTTGTTGCCATTACGGAAATAGCTTATTTTGGCAAACTTCAAAAAGGCGGTTCAAAATTATAAGAATAATTTTTTTGTAACGAGAGAGTAAGCAAGTAATGAAACATTTTACTAACTTTATTTTTTAACAAACAATAATACAAGGTATGTTATCTAACAATAATATTAAAATAAATGTCATTTCAAGTATGTTATAAATATGCCATTTCCATGAGAGTATGTTACACAGGATAGTTATCATTGAGTAAAATTAAATATTGTTCAAATGCATGTGCTTTATTGCTGTAGCGGCACTGAAATTTGTATAGATAACTTAAAAATAATGCGCGACTTGTTCCACATTGACAACGAAATTTCCTTATTGCATACATCCGTAGACCCTCAATGGCCTGGGTATTGACATCAGCATATAGATGTACAAAGTTTTTGAGTGTGCACTACAACCGAATGTTGATAAATCCCATGGTTTATTTTGTCAATTTTGTAGTAGCCTGCCCAACCGTCAGCAACAATGAATATGATCAATTATTATTTGTTCCATCACCATCAGCGAACATCAGCGAAGCTGCATTTCTGCGAGCAACTACTTCTAACTAACAATGGCCAAAATTTTGTTTTAATATAAATAATCCATTTTCTACATCGTAACGTCTCCCTGTGGTACTTTCTGTGAAAAAAATGTTTCGTTCATTTCCACCGTTATTATCAAATCCTCCGAGTGAGTTACACCTGATGGTTTAACACCCAATTTCTACATTATAAGAGGAAAAATTGTTATAATCAACAGTGATTTCGTAATTGTTAATTTTGGTCAAGCATCGATTACGTGCTTTGCCTTTACATCATATACCCTGTTGAACCGCACCGAATACTATTCTTTTCTTCCTCCCAATCACTGCTCTTCTTGGTTCGGTGTTCTCTCAAACATAAGCGCAACCGCAACAACCCAGCAGTAGATCATCATTATAATACTTTTAGTGCTGAGACCGCAATTGGCAAAAAAGGAACCTGTGTAAATATTTGTCCTGGTATTGCAATTTCGACATCTCAACGAAAACCATCAGGTGACTCAGTTTAAGTTAAGTTAAAAATAAACGCAGAGACAATCTAACAAAGCGTTCAGAATTTGGGACCGCCGTTCTGAGGCTTGCCATTTTTCCTGAACTACATAGACAGTTCATTTCATCATTTAATGCAACCAAATCTGAAATTGAGATTTCTACAAGCACATTTTGTGATAAATTATAAATTAATAATAATTATTTTAAGCCAGTGGCAGATCTAGAGAAGGGGGGAGGCAAGCGGGGCAAGCTAGAGTTAGTGAGCAGTTTTTTAATAAGTCAGAAAAAGGACCGTCTTATGTGTAAAATCGACCAGAAAAAAAGTTTTCAGCCGCACTATCACAAATCTTGAATTTCCCCGTAAAAATTTTGAATCCTCCCGTGAAAATTTAAACATTTTCAAATTTTTGGCCCCTTGTCAAAGTTGTCTAGATCCGCCTCTGCGTTAGGCTATGTTGGTAAACATCGCGTGTATGATCTCTCTTTTTTTTACAGCCATATCTCACTCCGCATATATTTTTTATGGCTTGCAAACTTCTGTCTCGTTAAGATATTTAAGTGTCTGTTATGTTTTGCGAATGGATTGGAGGTTGATCGTCTGCGGGTTGCTCCTGCACCTGGTCCTCTTCTACTCCATCTTCGACATCTACTTCACATCTCCACTTGTTCACGGGGTGCCATCCCACACCAACCCGCTACCTCCCCCTGCAAAACGATTGGTCCTCTTCGTGTCTGATGGATTGAGGGCTGACAAGTTATTTCAAGTTGATCAGCAGAGTGGAAGCAGTCACACGCCATTCTTGAGGTCCTGATGTATTCTGTCTCTAATGTAGAATATTATAAATGATTGTTTTGTAGGCTGTGTTGTATTGTATGGATACATCATTGGTTGTTGATTGTCTCATCCAATTTGTTCTTATTCAAATTTGTAAAAATTTTATGTATATGCATCAATTGATTAATTTGTGAAGTGTTCAAAAACTTTTTGTTACGATCTAAATTCTAAATAGTTTACAAAATGTAATTTCATTAAAATTGCAATTGTTAAGAATTAAACTTATACAATGTTTTAATTTTAAAAACATCAAACAAGAATAAATACTCTCCAAATTGAAACACTCGACAAATCAAGTTTTCATAATTTTCATATCTTCTTCAATATTTTTTCATTCATTCATACAAATGATTAATATTAATTTATATATAGTTTTAAAAATTAAAAATAGAAATCTTAATTTACCGATTCCCTGTTAAAAAATTTGTCATTTAACTTTTTTCATAGCATGAAAGGACATCTTATCTGCACAGTTTTTCAACAGCACCTCAAGTCTTGGTTGTAGTGGCGTGCTTTAATGCATAGAATCAATTTATCATTGTCCTAATCTATTCGACTTCACTAAACTATATAACTAATATGATATTTTATTATATTGATGTTTATAATGTAGTAAATTAATATGTTGAATACTGCATATAAAAATATATTGAATTCTTATAAATAATAAATTGAATGCGATATAGGAGCCTAGCCGAGGTTAGAGGTGTATGGGGCGTGTCACACACTCGAGTTCCAACTGAATCAAGACCTGGCCATGTGGCACTCATAGCTGGATTCTATGAAGATGTCAGCGCCATCACCAAAGGTTCCACCATCTTACATCTTTCCTGATTTCTAAATTAGTTTCTTTCTTATTCATTTAAATGATTGTTAGGATTTATTTAATTTAAAAAGTTTTTTTTGGGATCGGTAACTATTTTTTATGTTTTTTTTTTGTTATTGGAAATATGATTGCCTTGTTGAATAATTTATGTATCAAAAATTTGAATGAATTGTTATTATTAAATGAATATTCATTAGTCCATTTTCAAAAAATATTAAAAGTGTATTTATTTTAATTAAATAAGTTTTGTTTTTCTTTTTTTAGTTTTTTTTTCTTGCTTATGTGAGTCATTAAAAAAAATTTTTTTTTTCTAGTGATCTGATCTAGTAAATTTTCTTCAATTTTTATTGTCATTTTGTTTCATTTTTTTTAGATTTTTTTTTATAGTAAACATACTTTTCAATTATTTCATTTGATCAATTTTCAAATTTATTATTAAATTCATGTATGTCTGAATAAAACTTTTTTAATTACAAAATAATATTCATTATGATTAATTCATATGTACTGAAGAATGAATTCAAATTTGTTAAACAAGGCTGGAAAGAGAACCCTGTAGAGTTTGATTCACTGTTCAACCAGTCATCGACCACGTGGTCCTGGGGCAGTCCTGACATCCTGCCCATGTTCAAACATGGTCGTTCTCTATGACCTTGACCTTATTATTATTGACATTAATTTATTTTTCATTCCATATATTGTTTCACTGTTTGCTTATTTCATTTTATTTCAAGAAATTCTATTATTTCAATTATTATTTAAGAGCATGTAGAATAAAATTTGTTCTTAATAATTTTTATTAATATTTTGTTATTATTAACATAATTTAGTTATATATATTAATATATTTTAGTTTGTTTGTACTAGGTTTCTAAACAATTGATCTGTTTTGAATAATCTCAAATATTGTTTGAAGGATTTTATTTTTGGCTTGTCAGCACCAAATAAAACTTTCATTTATTTTTTACTGCATTTAAATATGGGAACTATGCTTTAAAATTAAATTGTTTTATTTTAAGCAGCAATTGAATCAAACCTTTTAAACTTTTAATTTAAATTCAATGTTATATAATTGTAATTATTAACTATAATTTCTGTCATGAAATTTGAAACCAAATTTTTAATTAAATTTTGTTTTGATAAATTCATTTGACTTTTGAATGTGAACATGACAGGGGCAACGGGAGATCATGTGCATGCATTCATGTACCCAGACCACAGTGAAGATTTCGCAGCAGGCGACCATGCACAGCTTGATACGTGGGTCTTCAGAAATGTTCAGGTGAGGTTTCAGTTGGTTTCTTCACTTTCTTTCTTAATCTGGTATTCTGATGCTCTGCTGCTGATGTTGGTTGCGAGGCATGGCTGATGAAATGCATTTGAATTGTGTCATCAGATTAATTAATGAGCAACCATTCAAGAAATAAACTAACATTCAGTCAACTTGACAAGCAACAATTTTGCAAGCGACAATCAAAATCACCAAACAATCAACATCACCCAACAATCAAAATCACCCAGGATTTTTTCTCCCAATCCAACGAGAGCGACACAAGCAAGGATCTCCACAAGTCGAAAATTGTTTTCTTTCTGCACCTGCTGGGTCTCGATACTACAGGACACGTACACAAGCCACACTCCAAGTTGGGTCATGGTCCTTGTTCTTCGTGTTTGCTTGCTTGTATTGCTTGTGGTTTTTGCAAATATTTATGGTTTTGTGTTTATTAGTAAACAACATTTTGGCATACTTTGAGTTTTGATATGAACAACTACATACTTTTAGCATGGGTGAAATTGTGAAATTACATGTTATTACATGTGCAATTTTTGGGCTGAGATTAAACAAACATCCATGGGTTGGAAAGATTGTGTTGATCATTTAATCAGTTCTAGAACTGGGATATTATTTGTTTGCACACGATCTGCACAGGAATTACGTGAAGAATATGAAAGTTGTTGACGATGGTGTCGAGAAGATTGTGAGTATGGTTGAGGAGTTTTACCGGCACGATGGGAGGACTGCATACATCTTCACTTCCGATCATGGCATGACTAGTTGGGGTGGGTGCTGATGATAATGATGATGTGATGGATTTTGATGATGATGATGATGTGATCGATTGTAATGATGATGGTGTGATTGATTGTTTGATTGTGATGATGATATTGTACAGTAAAGTCAGCTGTTTCTCAGGTCAGGAATGAAAAGGTTTGTTTTGGCTGTGGAAAACCAAGGCACTTCGTCTCCCATGCCCTCAGAAAAGTATGCCAAACAAGTTTCGGTCAAGCTATCAAAAGGGCCAGAATAACTGTTATAGGTGCGGAAAATCAGGCCATTTCAAAAGGGAATGTCCAGAGAAAGAAAAGTCGATTAAACAATCAGAACGCGTGAAAAAATCTAATGGAAATGACAACCGAACTTTATATTTGCCGATTTCGGTAAATGGCAAAAAGAAGATTGGGTTTGTTGGATAGCAGTAACAGCGTATCCATCGTACCGTCCTCAATGGATGACGTAGCAAGGGTTACACCTATCAAAAAATCGTTGAAAGCTGTTAACAATACAAAGATTCCAATAATGGGGGAAATGGAACTATGGATAAAGATTGGTGGATTTTCTAATTTTGCTTCAGAAATTATTTTGACTTGTAAATAATAATTTCATGAAAGTTTGGCGAAGCACGGGCTGCCGTTGATAACTGAAATAGAATAGTGAAATTGGTCACTAAAGGATCGTCAAATGGGTCACTGTGTCGTGTCTTCTCTAGTGTGGAAGTGTTAATTCCTGCACGAGCGGAACTAGATGTATCGACAAAATTAGTGATACGTCACCCATCCATATTAATATTAACAGATTGCGTGTGTTCTGAAGCAAGGCAAGTAAAATCAGGTGTCTTTATCATAAGAGACAAACAAAAATTCAGCTGGAGATAAAGCCTTCGAAAGCTTGAAGGCTGCGCTGATAACTGCACCAGTTTTGGCTATGTCTTAAGACGAGGGACCTTTCGTTCTGGATACGGATGCTTTGCAGCATACCTTTGGAGCAGTATTTTCGCAGTTAATATTGCACTACGCGAAATGAGTTGCTAGCGGTCGTTTATTTGTTGGGTAGCCATTATACCATCAGAACCGATCATGCAACGTTGACGTGGTTGAGAAACACATCCGACCCTATTGGTCAACGGGCAAGGAGGTTGGAACAAATGGAGGAGTTTGATTTTAATATCTAAAGGGCAGGTATGAAACATGGAAATGCGGATGCCATATCTCGGAAACCGTCTAAAAAAGAGTACTGCAAACCAGAAACACTGGCTGTGAAACGGGTTAAAGACGCTGGCGAATATACTGACCTATGAGAGGGTCAATCTGCGGATAAGACAATCCAGATTTTTGTGAAGTGGCCGCAGAAAAATGCTACTAAACCGTCCTGGGACGACATATCTAGTGAAGATAGGACGCTCGAAACGCTTCTGAATTTAAGGGACCGTCTTGAAATCAAAGACGGAGTTTTATGTGGACGATTCGAAATAGCAGGCCTTGGTGCCCGCAAATATGATTAATTCTGTTTTATTAATTGCTCATATAGGAATGACAGGGGGACATTTAGACGTAAATAAACTGAAAGAATCCGTCCAACGCATGTTTTACTGGCCAATATGGAAAACCGACGTCGAGATGTTTGTCAGGACTTGCGAGAAATGAATTCGATACTACCGGAGTAAGCCACCACGGCGAGCCAAAATGAAAATAATGTTGTCTGGCATGCCATGGGAAAGGGTAGCGCTGGGTATCACCGGTTCACATCCAAAATTGAAAAGAGCTAAAGATTTTGGATCATTCTTCAAAGTGAACGAAGGCATTTCCGTTACGAAAGCACACAGCAGTTACAGTGTCTGAGGTCTTAACTGCCGAAATTTTGTTGCCGCTGCAAATACTCACAGATCAGTGTAGGGAATTTGAAAGCGAACTGTTTACCACGCTTTTACACATTTTGCGAATCGAAAAGTTGGGAACATCGCCGTACAATCTATCTTCTGAGGGGGCGATAGAACGATTCCACAAAACGTTAAACTCAATACTGGCCAAAGTTGTGCAGGAATTCCAGAGTGATTGGGAGGAACATTTACTACACGTTATGGCAGCGTATTGAGCAAGTGTACATTCTGCGACCGGGTTTACCCACGAATAAATTATTTTTAGAAAGGGAAAGCATAATGTCAGTGAATCTGGTGTATCGATTGCCTAAAGAAGCCAGTCTAGGAGAGTCCTATCCCAAAAGAAAATAGGTTGCTCATCGAAACAACAAGTATCGTTGCACCGACGCGAAAGAGAGAAAGAAAAAAGCCGTCTAGATGGGGCCCGAAGCTAATGGCAATCAACATCTCCAACTTTAACGAAGATTTGAAAGCAAACGGGACGACGTTTGATGGGCTGGGGGATATTGTAAAGTTTTTTGGCGCGCATGTTGCTTGAATAGCTCATGTGCGATATAGTTTTGTGTGCATGTTGGTATGGTATTGCGCAAGTATGGTTAGTACGTTGAGAATGAGAATAAATGGTCTCTCAGTTGGTTTTGTTTGGATTGGTATTTAAGCGTTTTGAACAATGGCTCATGGGTCCTGCTTATTTTTGTTTTATTTTTCTAGCGTGGTTACTGGTGCGTTAGGTTATTGGTGATTTATTGGTTATTGGGGATAGACTGCTCTGCGTTTTTCTTTGGGTTTTGTTTTGTTTTCATTGCTACTGTTCGGTTTCTGTTGCAAATTATTTTTTTGTTTATTTAGAGCATTTAATTTTGTTTGTTATTTATTGTCAGAAATTGTCAGAAAAAAACTTGTCAGCGGTTAGTAGGGTCGGATTAGCTGACTGGCTGGCAGGGCGCGAAAGCTCTTCAGTCCGGCCCGTGTTTTCCGATCCGGAGATAAATATTTGTGAAGAGGCGAGTCCCGGCCAGAAGCAAGACTGCCTAGGCTGGCGGCGGCGCTCGTTTCTGTACAATCAAGGAACGGTTTCCGCCATGCAATAAAAATTCATAAAGTGACTGCGAGATGATGATGTGATTGATTGTGATGATGACGATCACGTAATGCCGTCATACTTTTTTACTGTTATTTTAATTATTCCATCATGGATTTTCTCATTAATTTGTTATTTGTCAACCACATTTTTAATCTTTCTTAATCAGCTATAATCATCATCATCAACATTAATGTATTCATCAATAACTTCATCATCAACATCTTCATCATCATCACCACCATCATCTTCTCCATCATCACCACCAGGTTCGCACGGAGCGGGGGATTTGACGGAGACGATGACTCCGTTCCTGGCCTGGGGTGCTGGCATCAGAGGTCCTCTCCTGAAGAAATTGCGTGATGATGATGATGGTGGGGATGGTGATGATAAACTTAATGATGATCACTTCAGCAAAGGTAAATATGATTATTGGCACTGAATTAGGAATAGCAGAGCATTTTTGTTTATCTCTCAATAATTTTCCGAACTTTTAATATTTCGCCCTTCAAAAAACTGTTGGAAGATCTGCGTTAAATTTTTAGCCACAAAAAAGATTGCCTCTTGCTTAGACATTTTTTTATTATTTTTGATTTTGTCAATCGGGGCGGTGGCGGGAGCTATGGCGTAATTGTTAAGGCGCCTGGCATTGTTCATGCAGTCTCCAGGTTCGAATGTGAAGTGATCCCCGCCTGTCACGTGCAGAAGTGTGTGATGCGTTGAATGACGTGGGTTTATTTTACACTGTGTATTTGATGTAATAATAATAATGCGCATCTGTCGCTTGCCATGGCGCTATATAACATGACATTATTATTAATATTATTATTAATTGGCACGTTTGAAAAGATTTAAAAAAACGATGATAAAAATAATAAATTTGTTGTGCACAATCTTTCATAAACTCAACTTTTTACAAACCCAATCACCTAATGTTTTCCTTCACAATTCTTTGCCCATCCCAATATTTTGGATGATGTTATGATTAGTTCAATAACAAACGTGAGTTTTGATGGTGACCAGTGGCGGATCCAGGGGGTCCGGGGGACCAGTACTTCCCCTCCCGCTGTGAGCAGTTTTTGTATTTAAAGTTAGTAAAAGTCTTTGTTTCAACGGACAAAGTGCCATTTTTGACGAAGAAATGACGTGACAAGCGTAATAAAGGTCGTCAGCCACAAATGTTGCCTCCCCGTCAAAATGTTGGCCGCCCCGTTAACACGTCGAAACTTATTGAAACATTTTCAAAAATTCTCCCCACGGTCAACGTTTGAAATTTTGGCTTTTGGTCCCCGTCACTGATGGTGATGAGGTGTGGATGGTGGTGAGGAGATTGAAATGATGGCCATGATGACGGTGCTCGATGGTTTAAGAGATCATTTAGGTATTTCAATCCTCTCTTCCCCTCATTTTGGTTTCATGTTTCTAAATTTTTATATTTTCAAGATTGGAAACTGAATGACGTTGTGAGAACTGATGTTAATCAGGTTCGTTCCAACTCCATTCATTCATTTATTCATTCATTCATTTTTTCATATCATACTTATATAATTATTTTTTCATTTAACAATTGTTTATTAGACTTTTTTTCATTTTTTGATGAATTTTGTTATTATTTAAATTCTCTTGTAAGCTGTTGTGGTAACGTTTATTCTAATTAATATTAAGTGGATTGTTCACCGACTGCATTGCATTTTCTTACTGCTGCAAATCATTTGTTATTCACCGCCCAGAATGCTGCGGTTCCGAATTAAAATTCGGTTTTGAGTTCTGGGATCTGGTAAAATTCGAATTTGTCGAATCCAACGCTAGTGATTTGGTAAAAACCGGATCCATGATTATTATTGGATGAAGTTTTGTTAAAAATTAAAAAAATGATTTAATTAAATATTTTCAACTTCAAACTGAAATGCAATATTCTATAAATTGTTTTGAGTCACGCGTCAACTTTTTTCAACACGTGTCTGTAATTCGCTCACTTTTAAATTCTGATAGTGTGATGCAGGGCTGTGCGTGGAATCATAAACTTGTTAATTTGAAGGAAATGTTTCTAAAGTTTTTTTGAAATGAACCATGTCGATGTGCCTCGTCACTTGTGTTAACATTGTTGTTGATCAAATCACGTAATGATATTCATTGTGAGAACGCAGGAAAGTATGGCTACATAGGCATACATTATAATATTCAATTGTTGTATGTCAAGCATCAGCTATAAATAGCTATGCACAGTGATTATTTTAACTGAAATAACATGGCAACTGGCGACTATAATTTAAACGTTCACCACTCAGTAGTAGGTTATTGTTTGTTGAGTTATATTGTTAGTTGGAGTGCATTCAATCGCTTTTTCTTGCGAAAGGAACTAGCGGTAATGTCGCAATTGATAAGAAGTTACAAAGTTAATGAAATGAAACAATAAAGTCATAACCTTTCTGGTTGTCAATTCTCTAGTCTCAAATCACACAGATTAATGAGAATTCTTTCAACCTCTTCTAACTAACGAATCAAAATAACTCACCAACCAACCAACTAACTTATCTCTGCTTAACTATCTATAGTTGATGTATTACGCGATGTATGACATACAACAATTTATTATTATAAAGTGTGTCTATATAACAGTATGGATTCATGTCAGTTTTCTGTTTTGTGAATTTTCTAGTTCGATCGTTCGAATTTACAATACCAAAATAGTCATTCTAGCTCTCATGCCGACAAGAAATATTTGCTGAAATGTCATCAACGCGCATGCACTTTAGATCCGGATTGGGAATCGTCCGAGTCCATCACTTAGATTCGGATCCGGATACCAGGAATCTCGAAATCTTCGATCTGTCGCATTTTTACTTGCCACTCACCACGCAACGTGCATATCTCCACCACCACATAACAATAGTCTTTTTTGATTCGACCTGCCAGAGTTCGAATCCGATCAGCTCGCGACATTAACCCACTTACCCGAGACCTAGCAATCCAGCTAACATCAAAGTTTATTTACTCGGATGTCAACTTTAAATAGTTTGTTAATAAAGTTTCATTTATGTCTCCATTTGCCATTACTATTCATGAATACTCTCCTGTTGAATGCACGCAGGCAGACATCTCTGCCCTGATGTCGACGTTGATCGGAGTTCCTATCGCGAAACAATCTGTGGTCAGTGCGTGCTCGTGTGCTCGTGTGTGTGTGTGTGTGTGTGTGCTTGTTGTTTTTTTCTTTAACTGTTTGTTTTCACTGTTTTGTTTTTATTTTGTGATTTCATTTTTTTGTGAGCGAATGTTTGTTTGCCAATGCGCTATCATCACTTTCATGTGCTTAAATCACGTTATCATTTTAATGATGATCATTGACACAACGGTCGTGATGCCACCACCACCACCACCACGATGGCAGGGAACGGTGCCAACCTCCGTCCTGAACACCTCCATGCAGTTCAAGGCACACAGCCTCCTCACCAACCTCCGGCAGGTCCACGAACAGTACAAGGTCACGTGCGTGAAGTCTTGATCAACTCTTTTTTTTTCTTTCATCCCATTGAACGTCACAGAGCGAAATAACGAGAGATCAGATTCTGCGTCTTGCACGTCATGTTCGAACTCTATCGCACCCTCATTGGCACAGCCGCACGCGTTCTAATTGTTGATCAGTGAGCGATGCACGTGAGAAGAAATGTTTCCATTTATTCGTTTTTATGACTGAGTGTTTCAGCTGATTGCAAATAATTGAATGGACGGTGTCCAACCACCACGTGCCCGCATGCAGGTTAAGGAGGAAGAGAAACGAACAACCGTCTTTTCCGCGCTCTTCACTCCTTTCTCGTTAGTTGAATGAGTGGTGAATGAATGAATGAATGAATGAATGAGTGGGTGATTGAATAAGTGAATTAATTGACGGTTGACGAATTGATAAGCAGACGACGTCAACTCAGCATTGAATGGCTTGAAAGCTAATACATCAATTAACGCACGATTGACCTTCTGGCTTATTTTATAATTAATTGTTGCGCTCTGTGGCTTATCAGCACCGGGGCACCTCATGTGAATATTCTTTTAACTGATAATATTGATTTCTTTTTAATTTCCAGGAAACGTGATGAAATCGTAAGTGCGTGTGGATGGACGAATGGGCAGTTGGTGAGCCTTGTTGTTGTAAATGGCGAACGAATATTTAACATCCTATAAATGATAATATTTTATAAAGCAACATTTTGCTTTCAGTTGAAGATCGGGGGAAAAAAATCAAGAAATAAATTATTTATGCGTGAAATCAATGAAATGCATTGGTCCGGTAGAATGAATTTATATTTGGAGTAGAAGGACATATGTACATTTGGAAGTTTATATTGTCTGGTGAATGAATTAATGAAAAAATTTATCAATTTTCATGATCAGATAATTGAAGAAAAGAATGAATATTTAAATGAATGAACGAATGAATGAATTAAATGAAGAAAACTGATGAATCAATCAATCAATCAATCAACCAGCCAATCAATAAATCAATCAATCAACCAATCAATAAATCAATCAATCAACCAATCGACCAACCAACCAACCAACCAATCAATCAATCAATCAATCATTCATTTATTCAATCAATTAATCAATTGCTATTTAATTAATTTTTTATAACGATTAGATAAGTGAGATGAAGAACGTTGAGAATCTTCTGGAGGGCGCCCTCTACGAAGATGTGGTCTGTTGCATTCAATTTAATTTGATTATACATTATACTTTTCAGTAATCTTTATTGTTTGATGTTAACGATTAATGTAAAAGCTGTGATTGTAATAAATCATTACACTTAAAATTAAATTATTTTTTTAAAATTTGTTATTTTTAACGGTTTCTGATCTATTGAAGTCCACAAAAAATTTCCAAATATGCAATAGGCCTGTTAACTGTTAAATCTCAGATTAACTGCTGGTTTGTTAGGTCGAGATGTAATATTATTTATTATGCTACATAATAATTATTTTTTATGTTGCATAATAATTATTTATTATGTTACATAATAATTATTTTTTATGTTGCATAATATTATTTATTGTGTTAAGATATTCTATTGTTTATTAAATGTCATTGTTATTTTCTTAACATTTAAATTTCATTTCGGCTGCTCTCTAGATATTAGTAGGTAATAAAAAAAAATGATGGACACTTGATCGTGTTCTCGACTTCGTCATTACCGTGCTCTTCTTCATATATGTCGAACCACAACGTTGTCAGCACTTTCATTATCGTCGTCTTTGTCACCATCATTTCTGAATCTTTCATCACCACCCATCATCTTGTCCGATCTAATTCCATTAAATGATCACCATCATGTTCATATCACCATCATATCGCATTCGTCTTCATCTTCATTTAACCTAATCATCATCATCACCTCCCCCATCACCATCGTCACACTCATCACCACATCATCATAGATTCGCAAATGTCCACCCCTCATTGAAACGATTCTCGAGGGCTTCCAGTATTATCATCAGTATGATCGATTCATTCTTGGGTGAGTACGTGATGATGATGATGATAAGAATGGTGATGATGAGTGTGGTAATTGTAATAATTAAGTAAAGTAAGCGATCGAAGCTTCCATTTGTGGCACGTGGCACCTCTCATGTCTCTTCACAAAGTCTGACTAGAAAACGACGGTGGATCCTCCAAACAACGTAACTTTGTTTATAATATGTACCAATGGCTCTCAACATGAGGTGTGATGTCTGCCGAGATGCTTGTACAGGTCCGTAGTTTTTCTGGTTACATCACCTCTCCTGCTGTATATGCATCCAGTTTTTGTTGTTGTTGTAATGCTACGCTGTGTCTTGTAACATCTTTTACCAAGTTCCTGACATTTTTTGACAATTCTTAGTTTGCTGTATAATACGGCTGCTTGTACTTTTTGGCGTTGAATTCTTTGTCTGTTATTTTTAATTCATCTTAGATACATTTGACACTCTCAGTTTTTGCTACAGGATCAGGGCCGTTGATAGTTTTTCAAACTGATTGCTAACGATTTCTAGAAAGTGTTAATGTCTGTCAAGATTTTGTTGTTTTGGGCGAAGTGCTTTGTCCAATATATTGACATTTTCATCGTAGAACAACGCCTAATTTTTTTGGTTTGCTGCATTTTCTAGCATTTTTTAATTGTTTTGCTCGTCAGACCGGTACCAACGCCCGTAACTCAGAATTTCCAAGATCAGCATCACGTATTTAAGCATGAATGAAGGGATTTGGCGTATCGTGCTAAAAGTGGGTTCACTGGCAAGCCATGTTTCGTATTGTACGACGGAGTTTGGTCAAATCACCTACCCTGTAGTCATCTAATACCAATATGGATGATACTTTGAAGCATGTTTTGTAGACTTCCACCGAACGAACTCTCAACCCGCCGAATATAGAAAAGCGGAGAAAACAGCAAATGGTTCAAAAATTAAAACAAATGATGGAGAATTCTGATTTTTATATTAAAAGAACAATAAATGACACAATAATTGAAACAAAAAAATGAAATCAGTCAAAAAGTAAAAAACTTTTGTTAAGGCACAAAAATGCAATTGATAGAATAAGATACGTTGATAAATGAAGTAACGTTGCACAGACACGCGTTGAAAAATGAGGATCCAAGTAAGCTGCCAAGTTTTTTAAACATCTTGAAAATGCATTTGGTTTTTATAGGGTTGATCAAGTTGATTGTGACAAGTTATTTCGAGCAGCTGACAATTACACATCGACCATTTCAATATGAAACTGAATCGAGCACTGACGATAACACTGTCTCCCCAGTCTTTCACAACCCCAGAAGAGAATCTAAATCACAGGTCGTGGATAGAACTAGAGAAGAGGCTTTGTAAAAGAGGCTGTGTTTTAAATGTCAACAGCCCTGTCATCTGTCACAAGCAAACCTGTTAACATTCAAAAGAATTCAGTGCGTCGTGAAACGGAAAAAAAGGTGATCAGAGGATGATGGTGATAATGAGGATGATGGTGATAATGAGGATGATGGTGATAATGAGGATGATGGTGGTGGTGACTGCAAGGATGAGATGAATACGTTGGAAGATGTGATTGAGGAAATCAAAACGCCGGAGGATTTCGATGGGGGCATCCTTTTGATTCCTCGACTGCAGGAAGAGCTGATTCTTTGATATTGGAGCAGCTGATAGGAAGGAAGTTGAAGCAATGATCGTCAATACAAAAGAAAATGTTTCCATCAGTGATAACAGTTACGACGCCGAATCAGATAAGTTCGAAGTGATTGCTGGCCACGACTCGACTGGCTATCCAATAGTTTCATTTCATGCTCTCAATCTATGCTGAAGATAGCTGAACAGAAGCAGATCAGTGCTTGCCATCAGGTGACAACCTGCTGATCTTCAGCGGCGGGTGTCAGGGATGTCTGGCGTAGATAGTTACGAATGCATGTACTGTACATGATGGAAGGGAGTGGTTCGCTACATTCGTTTCACATGCGATCTTCAAACTGACGAGGATGTTGTTGGCGATGAGGGTGATGTTGATACGGAAAATTAATATTATTAGTGGTAATAGTAGCATTGATGTTAATATTACCACCACCACCACCACCGTCATCATCATCATCATCATCATCATCGACAGATGCTGCGTGACACTGAGTTACGTTGGTTGGATGCTCCTCATCACGACCACACTCATCATCCATCACACTGGCATCAACAGTCAACATCAGCATCATCAACAACATCATTGCAGCGAAGGTCAAGGATTTTTTCTAAATTCTTGCACGTCATCGTCGACTTCAAGGTATATAAGAAGCATGTTTAAGCTCTCTGCCGTTGGAGTCATCATCTTTTTATTTGGTTTGTTCATTTTTTGATGAAGCTGTAATTGCAATGCTCCCTATGAAATGAAGTTTTGTACTGTTAACTGTTTTTTTGCATCGGACTTGAACGTGCATCTCACGAGCTGATGTTAATTTTGTTGCAATCCTTCACACTGTTTAATGTGCATTCGTTATTTTTTGCTGTTGGATAGAATTTCTTATAAGTAACATTTGTGATGACATAATAAATAAACCCTTAGTTATTTTATGTTTGCAATGATCCAGGTCAACACAAACCACTGATGCACTACATTTATTTTCTACTTCCTCTGTGTCTATGGTTCCTTGTCATCGATCGGTTGGTTGGTTCATTGATTGGTTGATTGGCTGGTTGGCTGGTTGTTCTGTTGGTTAGCTGGCTGGTTGGTAGGCGGTTGGCTGTTTGGTTGGCTGGTTGGTTGGCTGATTGTTTTGTTGGTTAGCTGGTTGTTTGGTGGGTGGTTGGCTGGCTGGCTGGTAACAGTAAGTTTATTAGTTTTTGGTAGACGAGCGACAATGAATCAGATGGTAGTTGCATGTATTACATAAAATATAAAGATTAAAGACCAAATTTTTTTTGAAAAATTGTACGTGTTGGAGTCTTCGTTTATTTCTGCACTCAGCATCTATATATGAATGCACACATTTATACGGTTGTTGGACGCTGTCAGGTATTTATTTCGTTGCAGACTGCACTCAAATTTGTTAAAAACAGTATTTTTTTATTTCAATTGATATCAACTGCGTTCAAAGGTCATGCATATTTGTTGAAAGAATTTGAACCTTTCATCGTGGCATCCATTCGCTGCAATGTTGTGAAATTCAAAAAAAAACTCTGACCCGTCAAAACAACTAGCACATTAAATTGCACATTCAACTAAGGTACAAAGTGTGGTACAGCGTGTACTGCCACGTGACTGGCCACTGCAACTCCCCCCCCAACACTTGCGATGACCTTCGAACGTGTCGACCCATCAAACTGTTCATCGGGCTTCTATTCACTCTGCTTGGTTTGGAGTTGCTGGTCGGTTGGTCGATCTTGCTAATTGCTGGTTGTTGTTAGCTCTTGTTGTGGGGGTGGTTGTTGTTGTTGTTAATTTTTGTTGTTTGTTGTCGTTATTTGTTGTTCCGCGTTGTTGATGTGTTCATTATTGTCATCGTTATAACTTCATTACCGACGTCTCGGTCATTATTGTCATCATCATCATCATCGTTGTTGTCGTTGTTGTTGTTGTGACCACCATGATTGTTGTCACTTTCGTCATGTTGTCATCATCCTGATTAACGCCTGCCTACAGGTCTTCTCCTTCATACACAGGCAGTTGTTGTCGGTCGGTCTGCTCTGCATGGCGTTGTGGCCCTGGTTTCAACGGTGTCTGCAACTACAACAACAACAACATCATCATCAACAACAACATCAACAACAACATCAACATCATCAACCACAACATCAACAACAACATCATCAACAACATCAACAACAACATCAACAACAACATCAACAACATCAACAACAACATCAACAACAACATCAACAACAACATCAACATCAACAACAACAACAACAACATCATCAACAACAACGACACCTACAACATCTTTATGAACAAGATCATCAACAGCGATTTCCATACTCACCACCACCACCACCACCATCATCATCATCATCATTAGCACCGACACCTTCGCTAGCGACGCAGGCAGGCTGGACAGCATCGTGCATCTTGATGTCCATCTTCCCACTCCTGCCCACCGTCAGCAAGGACTCCAACTACCCTGCTGTGTTCGTCCACTTCATCTCACTTAACACCACCACCACCACCACACCACCACCACCACCACCACCAAGTGCCATGCATCGTTTCATTAAATGCATTGTTTACCTTATGACATCAAATAGGAGAGAGTGTAATAACTTGCTGGCAGCGCAATTTATTAGCATGGCTTTACTCGTTGTTGGTGAAAGGGTTTTGTTTGCACGTCCTTGGCTGGACACTGCCAGATGGTTTTAGAACAACTTTATAATTAGTTTTTTTAATTAACCACTCTCTCTTTCGATTCTCTCTCTCTCTCTCTCTCTCTCTCTCTCTCTCTCTCTCTCTTTCTCTCTCTGAAGCTCATGATGTGTAAAAGTTGAGAAATTTCTCACGCTAACATTACATTTCTTCCTCACAGGTATGCATCCGTGTTCCTCTGCCTTCTCCTTTACATTCTGCTCTTCCATCAGTCAGAACTTTTTGGGTTTTTTTTCTGATTCAATTAAGTTATATTCTTATTTTCTTGTTCTATTTGATTGCAGCCATTCAATTGTAAAAAATTATCGAATATGAAATTAAATTAGTTAATTAATTCAATTAATTAATCGAATTAAGTAATAAATATAGAAATTTAAAAAGGTTCTCAAAACGAGGATCCGGCATGTTCACCTCTCTTGAGATTCTCCAAGTCAGTCTGATGTAGCTAATGAACACTTTCAAGATTGTCATAATAATTAGAAAATAATCACAATAATATAATAATTATAACGATAATAATAATAATATTATTATTATGATATTTATGATTTTTATTGTTTCTATTGTTTTATTTGTATTATTGTGTTATTTTTCTAGTTATTAAAATAATTTTTCAGAAGTCAATCATGCATTTTCTAAATAATTTTTTTCTTTCATCCATTAAAATATGATAGATGATTAAATTATTAGATAAAAAATAAAATGAAAATAATTTTAAAGTAAAATAACAATAATTATTTATTATAAAGTTGGATTAAAATGTTTGGATGCCCTACATAAACTTACCACTTTGAACGCTTCAGTTGGTGTTGGTTGTGCTATCCGGCCTCATAGTCTGGTGGTTTGTTGGGGTGAGGAACAACGATGCTGGCTTCAAATCATCGTCCCTCGCCAGCTTTCTGCATTTCATCAGCTGGCTGATACTGGGTTAGCTAACCTCGGTTCATTTTTTTGCTAATTATGAGTTTTTATTTTTGTTTTTATTTTCAATTTGTTTGTTTTTTTTTAGATTTTTTAAATTCGACTATGATCAGATTGACATAAATTAACAATAATAATTATTTTTTTATTAAAGTACTTTTATTATTGTATTAATATCTATTTATATTTACATTTATATGTAACACACTTATAACATGTTAATTATTTTTTTGCTCAGGTTCTAGTGATAATATATATATAAGGAATATTAAGTCTATTAATATTGGCATTAATATGGATATATTTACATTGTACAAGTTATCATCATCATCATCATCATCATCATTATTATTATTATTATTATTATTATTATTATTATTATTATTATTGTTGTTGTTGTTAGTATTCCTTCCGAGTTGTCGAGCAGGGTACACGGATGTCAATTTTGTTTTTATTTTATTTTGTCTCCCATTTAGTTTCATACATTACGTACTACAGTTTTTGAGTTGAGCGGAATGATGAGCATAGCATAACATCTGGTAAGGATGAATGTGTCGAGTGCAATAGAGTCGCACCAGCCAAGGACAATTTGAGGTGCCTGGTTTGCAAGGCTGCACGTGCACGCCACGCTTGTTCAAACTGCTGCAAAGGTATGATGTCCAGATTTTTTTATCACTCGCGTGCACGTGTTAGAGAATCTGGATAAAGTTGAAGATGAGGCAGATCATTTTGGAAGAGATCAAAGAAGTTAAATTGCATCAGTTGTTTGATACAGTGGGAAATATAAGAAATAAGAGAAAAGGCTCATATTCGTATGATGTACTTGCGAAAAGTGAAGAAGATCGGAGGGCAAAAAAATGTAATCATTTTTAAGCTCTTTGAAAAAACAGAAAAAAGGACCAAACCATTTTTGGATATATTTCTAGGTTTAATAAGAAAAATAATGATTTATCTCTAGACCTTGTAAAATTTTACAGAATAGGGAACAAGGCTCATCTACCAAGGCCTGTATTATTGACTTTCAAGTATGAAAATTTGAAAATTTTAAATTATGAAAATTTTATTAATGGAAAACTTGTACCAATTGAAAGGTTTGGAAAATAAGTACAATGGAATTGGCATAAGACAGGGAGAGGGAGAGGCGGTGAGCGGTTTAACAAATTAGTTATCGAGACTGAAGTAAAAAAATGAGTCGGGAGCAGCCAAATGTACAGGGTAAGGAAGGGTCCAAAAAGCATGGGGTGGTAAAATTCAAGGAAGGGAGAGTTTACAATTCTGTACGTTAATTTAGATAGTATTTTCAATTGAATTGTTGAAATAAGAATTACTGTCAAGTCTGTGTATGATTTAATGAAATTCACAGAAATCAACACAAAAAATATTGTAAATGGCTATTCATTATCTGAAATTTTTATAATTATAAATTACTGTTATGTAAGATATAATTTATTTTATATAAATTTAAATTAAGTATAAAATTCAAGGAATATATATGCTTCAGGTTAATTGGACAATGAGAGAAGTTGTGTTTGTTGGCATTGGTGGAAGAACTTTATACTGTAAGAGATAAAAAATTATTTGTAGATAATTTTAATATTTCCAATATTGATTGGAACATAGCATTTAAGAGCTAATTAGTTAATTTCATAAATGATTTGTTTTTGATTCAACTGGTTAAAAAAATCAACCGGATATAGGTCATCTCAAATTGCTGATATTCTGGGTTCCATTTCGCTGATTTTATTCAAAATTTGGAATATTTTATGGGTTGAATATGGTTTTAATATGAAAAGTTGAAAATATGATTTTTCTAGCGGTGAATACAATCCAATGAGGGATTGTGTTAATACAGAATTATATTTAATTAGATTGAAGTAATGAGTAATGTCAGATTTGGCTGATAGAATTTGGAAGAAGTTTTCCAATGTTACGCTCGAGGCGACTGAATAATTTGTTGCGCTCAATGCTGGTCACTCGTCGTCAAATAAATATGATGGTAATCTGTCTTTAAATATTATTTCGTTGTTTAATAAAAGATTGTGGGAAAAATATATCTGCTCTAAAATGTAGCTACGTTGCTCTGGTTGAATGAATTCAAACGTATAAGAAATGAAATTAGAACAAAATTATGGTCAGTAATAATAGGATTCTATGTTTGGCTAAAAAATTAGAGATGTTTCCAAGGTTTTTTGGCAGGTTATTAATAAGCATAAGAAACGTAAAGGTGACGTAAATGTTTTAAAAAGCATCGACGACTTGGGAATTCATACGTGTTGATTGCAATAAGGCTAGCTTATTTGCTAATTATTTCTGCATCTTTTTCAACAGAATGGATATTTTGTATGATGACATTGTTTCGACTTGTAACGTCAAGTTTTTGTTTTTTTGGAAGAACTATCAACTAACACCAGCAATGTAGAATCTAAGTTGAAAAAGTTATGTTAAATCTGCGGGTCCTGCAAAGTTGTTTTTGAGGGTTTTAGTTGAGTGCAGCGAAGTGATTTCAGATTATTTGTTCGCACCTTCGAAACTACATTCCATTCCTGACAGTTGGAGACGCAGTATTGTTCCTATTTAAAAAAAATGATGCTTGTAATGTTGAAAACTTTGCAGTATATGTTCTAATGTTGTGAAATCTTTAGTGAAGGATTACCTTTTGTTACATTTGGATAGGAATCAATTACTTGATGTAAAACAATATGGTTGAGGTGAAGCTATTGGTATGGGTGGGTAAGGAAGCAAATGTACAGGCAGACTTTAAATAAGCTTTCGATAAAGTACCCCACAAACAATTATTTTTGAAGCTAAAAGCACGTGGTGTGAATGATATAATTTATATGGTTGTTGATTGGATTGATGATTATTTAAATAATAGAACGTTTAAGGTGAAAGTAAGAGATAATTTGTCTTGAAGCTTGAGGTTGTGAGTGTTGCTCCTCTAGGGCTTGTTCTGGAACTCTTGCTGTTGTTTGTCAATGACACTTGTCTAATTTTTTATAAAAGTGATGAATATGAAATTTATTTACATGCTGATGAAGCAAAAGTTACTTGGGAGTTTCAGTTCTGATAGAGAGGAGGGACTGTTCGAGCATGCTTGGATGGTTCGTGTGAATAGAGAGTGCCAAGTTACGTGTGGACTGAAGCTGACTGGGCTAAAAATTACTCAGGATTATTGTATAAAATAAATGGTAGTGTTTTGAAAGTCTGTGGCTTATGGTTCTTTTTGTGATAATTTTGTTAAGAAACGCATTTATGATCAAATTATTAATACAGTTATATATCACTCTCGGATTGATTTCTCGCCATTGAAAAAAATTTGTCACTTGTGATAATCTGCATTGGTATGAATGAATGTGTGTGTCAGTCTGTGTGCGCGTGTGTGGAGTGAGTACAGCTGATGATGTGAACAAGTGTGCGTGTTGAGGATGTCAGTGGATGTCAATAGTTCTTGTGGGCCCATCTGTGTACGGGGATGTGCATTTTCACGTTTCTCTATTTTTATTTATTATTTCGTTTATTTATTTATTTTTTATTTCCTTCTTTTTAATTATGCTGTATCTTGCCGGACACACAGGCACCGCGCCCTTAACATATTTACAATTTATGTTACGTTATTATTAAACATTATAACAATTTACTATTATTATTATTATTATATTTTACATCTTATTCATTTACACTCTAATATCTAATTAATAACTTTCGATTGATTTCATTTGGATTTTATCTTTTCGGTCAATAAAAGAATGTTTCCATTATTATTATTACAGCATTAAATACTGATGATTCATTCATCCACCAGCATCTTCCTTCATTCTGCCTCTTCATTCCTCCACCAGGATTGTCGATCGCATCGCTTCCATCTCTCTATCATTCTTCTCAACGTACATCCTTCTCTCCATCGCGTAACTTTCGTTAAATATATTCATTTTTTTTATATTTATTTTTTAAAATAATGTTTTGATTTTTGTGAAGTTAAATTTACTTTTCAAATAACGGATTATAATTTATTTATTTACTTTTTATCAAAAAGAAATCAATTAGTTTCAGTAATAAATAAGTTAAGGAATTAACTTTTTAAAATAATTTTTATGAGATGAATTAATTTTTTTTAGTCTTTATTATTGCAACCCTGACATACGCAGAACCACTTACAATGTTACAGATATATATATATTATATATATATATATATATATATATATATATATATATATATATATATATATATTAATCTTTTTTTATTAATTAATATTTAATAATATTTTTTAATTTTGTCAACTTTGAACGACGGCTTGGGTGGCAGGCACGAGAGCCTCTTCTACCTCTGCCTCTGCCTCCTCATGCACTTCTGGGTCTCCATGGAAACCAACATGGACGCCCCATTGGTCAGTTCACGAGTCGCGTGATATCGTATTACGAAATTATTTCCGTTATTATTTCTTTTTATTTTGTTACTTTTTTGATTTAAGAATTATGTCCTATTCTCAAGTTTTTCATTGATGCAATACTCTCAGTGAGTTTGAGTCAGTTGATATTGTGATGGGACGTTTTTTAAGGCCATCCTTGGTATATGTTTTAAAGGATAATAAAAAGTAATAGATCTGCTGACGAATGAAGGTTTGTTGAAGAGTTCAATTTTGATCTTCAGTGATCATTTGTTGCCTTTTAAACACAACTTGATCCGACTGAATAAAGGGTCATAATAATTTTTTATAATTTTTCACCAGCTCCATCAGCAAGACTTCCGAAAGTTCGACTTGATACAACGCAACTTGAAGGCGTCTGACGTCCGATGCTCCTTCTTTTTCGTACGTTGTTGTTGTTGTTGTTGTTGCTGTTGTTGTTGTTGCTGTTGTTGTTGTTGCTGTTGTTGTTGTTGTTGCTGTTTTTGTTGTCGTTGTAGTTGTTGTTGTTGCTGTTGTTGTTGCTGATGTTGTTGTCGTTGTTGTTGTTGCTGTTATTGTGTTGTTGTTGTTGTTGCTGTCTAATTGGTGGTCGTTGTCAGGTGTGGTGGTCGAATGTAGTTGCAGATGTTCCAACCTGAGCACATCTGATTATTATAAATCATGATAGATATGATTAAAGTAAGTAGATATTAACCTATTTACATACGCATATATTAACACGTAATATTTTAAACTCCACCAAACATTAGCAAACACTTTATTGAATGTAATTCACTAGACACAAACGATCACTCCTCTCACATCAGCCCACATTTCGCATCCATGCACATCCATGCACGCAAGAAATGAACGCCGCGAACGCACCCTACAAACACGCAGACACACGAACGAGGAGTCAAATGAAACGAACACACGACCTCTCACAAAAGCAAAAGACTTAAAATTTTGCAATGACAATCGTAATGGACAATCTACCAATCAAACTACATAGAACAAACAAACAAACGACCAATCAAATCACATATAACAAACAAGCAAGCAACCAATCATGTTGCAGTTGTTCTTCTTGCTGACCTCCTTCTTCGGCACAGGCAACATCGCCAGCATCAACAGCTTCGACCCGACCTCGGTCCTCTGCTTCGTTTCAGTCTTCAGTCCGTTCGTCATGGGCGGACTCATGCTCTTCAAGGTCCTTTGTTTGTTTTGTCCGAATTTCGTTGTATTTTAAAAATTAGTTTTTGTGTTATCTTTTTTCGTCATACTTTCCAGTTGTCATCTGCTGCTCCTCTTAGTTTTGTTTCTCGTTTTGATTTTCTTTTCGTTTTTGTCCAACACTTTTGTCCATTTTCATCTTTCTACTCACTCCGTCTCATTTTGATGTCCATTCTTCTCATTCATTTGTTTTCCACTTGAAATGTTTTTTATGCCTGATGTTTTGCATTGGAACACATCGGCACCAATGTCTCTGCAGATCATCATCCTCTTCCTCGTCGTCACCTGCTGCTTCCACGCCATCCAGGTCTGCACCAACGTGCCAACCAACTCCTTCTTCTACATCGTATTCATCATTTCTGACTACATGGCGCTGGTTGGTTAAATGAATGAATGGCTAGCTAGTTGTTTGTTTGTTTGTTTGTTTGATTGACTGACTGACAGACTGAAAAACTGACTGACTGACTGACCGACCGACCGACCGACCGACCGACCGACCGACCGACCGACCGAACGAACGAACGAATGACCGACCGACCGACTGATTGATTGATTTAAACTCAACGAACTTCTAGCAGACTGTTAATGAATGGGTAAATAAATTATAAAATCAGATAAGATAACTTTAAGACGATCATTTGATGGTTTTTGAAATCGGCAGATTGATTGGTTAATGATGAGAATTCTCAACCAGCTTAACAAAAATGAATGCTGATTTTGAATGGATGATAATTTTTTTTGGTTTCATTTTCCAATTTATAATTTTTTTTATTTCACCGTATTTATTTGTTTTTTCAACACCAAAACATCACACCACACACACCACCACCAAATCAAATCTGCGTTTATTCAGCCAAGTGTAACACACACGCTAGGAGACCAGAAGCAAATGCTTGTTAGGTCACCCTAAAAATAAACAAAATTAAACAAGTTAAAATAAACAGGAATTAACTCACAACCACACACACCACCACCACACCACACACGCCACCACTACCACACAGCACTTCTTCTTCATGGTTCGTGACACGGGCAGTTGGTTGGACATTGGCACCAGCATCAGCCACTACGTCATCGTCATGAGTCTCATCATCTTTCTCTTCGTCATCATCACTCTCTCTCGCTTCCTCACCGAGAAGATGATGGTGACGGGGAAGTTCGTGATGAAATCGTCATTCAAGGAAAAATGATGGTTTGGATGATGACAACGATATGGATGATGAAGAAGATGAAAAAGATGATGATGAAGAAGAAGAAGATGATGATGATGATGATGAAAAAGAAGAAGAAGATGATGATGAAGAAGAAAAAGATGATGATGAAGAAATGATGATGAAGAAGAAGAAAAAGATGATGATGAAGAAGAAGAAGATGATGAGGAAGAAGATAATGATGAAGAAGAAGATGATGAAGAAGAAGAAGATGAGGAAGAAAATGATGAGGAAGAAGATGATGATGAAGAAGAAGATGATGAAGAAGAAGAAGATGATGAAGAAGATGATGAAGAGGATGGAGGTAGGGGAGAAAAAAAGGAACTAAAGTAATGACAGCACTGACGTAGTAATGACGGTGATGTTCAAAATGATGACGATGAAGATGATCATCATGAGTGATGATGGGCGAAAATGTGGATGGTGTGCCATGTTGGGAATGCTGATGACACTGCCATGTTTTTTTAATTCAAATGTTTCTCCAGGGTCCCAATTTGTTACAATTCATTTCAGTGTAAATTCTATTTAGATATAATGAAAAAACTGTCTATCATTGCTGTAAGTTCCATCGCATGACGCTTATGAGCACATGGAACCTTTGTATTGTTTTGTTCAAGTGGCTGGGAATAATGACGTCATTTTATAATGTTGTATTTTGCATCGCATTGAACGACGTTTGCAGTTTTATTTCATGCTGCAAATGATCACCGTCACCTACATTCGTTACTGCTTACTTCAGTTACTTCATGTTTTTTGCGGCTTGCCTACTGGAACTATCTGACCTACTCTCTGATCTACGCTTAGTGTTTAATATTCCCATCACAAGAGCTTGGAGGCAGTTTTAACGTCACACATTTATTTTGTTTTATAATGAGGAACCCAGTGCCAAACGAATGGTGATGACGAATGATGGTTGTGAGTGGTTGTGTAATGTCGCAATTGTTTTCCGTCAACGTGCAGTGCGTGCGTTATAGTTCGATTCCTATACTAAAATTCCATGCAATATTTCCATGAATGAATACGCTGTGATGAGGGAGGTCAAGGAATATGTGACTGACGGGGGATGATTACTTTAATAGATGACATCCCGCTTTGTTTATTTTTCATAAAAGAAGAATTTTTATTAATTAGTTAATTAACGATTTTGTTAAAAAATATCTTTATAAGAAGAAAGTTTAAAACATTTTTGAAGGCACTTCACTGATGTTTTATCTTTTGCTTCGTTCGTTAAAAGTTGAAAAAAATTTCCTATCATGATTTATTGAAAATTTTGTAAAACTGACTGACCATGGGAAAAAATAATTCATCGTAATTAATTGTTATATAAATGATATAAACTAATAATAATAATAATAGTAATTAAAAAATTCAGTGCGACGTGACGTCAGACGATGTCAGGCATGTGCATATTCATTCACGTCTTATGTTATTTTCCATATCTTTTAAAATTAGACTATTATTTTTGTAATAAAAATAAATGATAAAGAGGTTGTTTTTCATAAATATATGGCATATAATGTTTCCACCCGACTTCGGAAAATGTTATTAATTAAAAAAAAAATTTATTTATTCTTTTTAAAAATCATATTTTTTTAGAAGTAAGTTTATGTAGCGTGAATACTAAATGTGAATGAAATCTCATACTTTTCTTTTCGTATGTTTTCAAACAAAAATATGTAAAGTAATTTTACAAGGAGAAACAAATACAGTGATTGTGAGGTTGATACATGGATGTGTTTGTTTTTAAATAGTGATGATAAGATGAAATTGTGATGCAGAGCGCTCGGTTGTGCCACGAGATATGCTACTGCAGATTCTTCAGAAAGGAAAGCAATCTGCTGAAGGAATAAAAGATATAATAAACTCTTAAAAAAAACTGTCTATAAAATGTAGTCAAATTTATTTGTAACCATCCCTTCGCCTCCTGCCACAGCCAAACCATATTTTTCGGGACTCGGAAGCAGGGCCGGATTAAGGTCACTGAAGGCCTAAGGCTTATTGATAAAAAAAGGGCCTAATGTTGGTAATTATATAAAAAACGTAACTATTTTTGATAAATTTATTAAATAACAGAAATATATCATAATAAGTGCATATTGTAGTTTGTATAATTCAAAACTGCTTTTTTCTGGCTTTGGTAGTTGCAAAGTTATGGATGGATAATGTCATTACAGTTTAAACTTCTTAAAATTTCGGATTCAATGCTCAACAGCGAAAGAGCAGAAAGGCGTGTTTGTGACATGGTTGATCGCAAATAATTTTTAACTCGTTTTAACGCAGAAAACGATCGTTCTCCACTACAGTTAGTAACCATAGGTGTCAAAAACAAACGTAGAGCCGTTTCTGCAACTTCAGTTTCAATAATAATTCTACACAGCCACATCGATTTGGTCTCATAATCTTTATTCTGTAATGGGTTTTTTTTTAATATTTTCATAAGCCGTGATTCGATTTGATAATTCTTGCATCAGTTTGTCGGTGATGGGAATAAAATTTTCAAATGACGCATTATCATATTTATTCTTTTTCTTACGCATGCCGCTAGTTTTGTAGTTGCTGTTGCGAGTTTTAGCGACCCCTCTTTGTTCGTACATATCAAAGTTATCTCTGATGCTTTGAATCACTATTTGCAAAGACTTTAAAAGTGCCACTGCTGTTGAAATGTCAATTTGCGAACTCTGCAAACTAATGGTACATTTATTGAAGGCCTGTAATATGCCGTTCCACATCTCGCATAATATGCCTGTTTCCAGAAGATGTAATGAATTGTTAAGATCTTTTGCGGTGTTTCTGGTATCTACTTTTTCATTTTCGCTAAACTGAATTTCCTCAAGAGTGGTACATAACTGTGACAAAATGCATAAACAGCTTCTTCATTAGCACTCCAACGTGTCTGTGAAAGAGATTTTGTAAAAGGACGACAATTTTTAAATTGATCCGTTAAAATCTTCCATCTATGCGTAGATGCAGAAAAAAGTTATACAACTCCTGAGTCAAACCAAAAAAGGACAAGGCTTCAACACAACAATCAACAGCCGAATGACCCACAAGGTTTAATGAATGGGCAGCGCAAGGTATGTAATCTGCGAAGCTATTTTTTCTCTTAATTTGGGCTTGCATTCCTGAGTATTTCTCACTTATATTACTTGTGTTATCGTAAGACTGGCCCTGCATAGTCCAATATCGATTTTTTGTTTTTCCAAAAAGTCTGTTAGATATAATGCCAGCTGCTCATCTATATGACTGAATATATTTATAAATGTAAGAAAACGTTCAACGGGACCTCCAGGAAGGACGTACCGCATTATGACTGTAAGTTGATCTGCATGAGAAAGGTCGGGCGTGGAATCTACAGCAACTGAGTAATATCGCGCATCCTTTATTTCTTTAATAATAACATCAAGAGTATTTTCTGCCAATAACACAATTAATTCATCACAAATTGTTTTCGATAAATAAGACGTATGGCCTTTTCCTTGATTTGCATGTTTTTGGATATGTTGAGACAAAAAAGGGTCAAACCTTGCTACTAATTCAAGAATTCCTAGATAATTTTCATTATCTTTTGATCCAACAATTTCATCAGAACCGCGAAATGCTAGACCTCTTTCTGAAATGAAAATAATCGTTTCAATAACACGTTCTAGAATTTTTTCCAGTAATCTCGAGTTTCCAGAAAACTGTGATTCCAGCTGGATATCAATTCGCTTAAATATATTGCATCTTGAGTGAAATTTATTTACAGCTGTGATATGTTGAATACATTTTGCATGTTGACTGACATAAACAGAATTTTTCCAGTCATTAAATCCCATGCAGAATAGCCAAGATTTCTTAACCGCGAACAAACAACAGTAGAAGCAGTAAACTTTATGCATACTGGGTGAATACAAAAGCCATTCACGTTTACCAATCTCCTTATTTGGTTTTTCATAATTAAATAATGCTTTTGTTAGATAACCGCTTTGATTTCAATATTTACGTTTTGTAACCGAAAAGTCAGAATCCCAATTTTGACAATTTGAGGGCCTTTTTCACACCAGTAAGAAAGAAAACTTTCATCCTTTAGATAAATATTCAACTTTCCTGGGTCAGATAAATATCTTTCAGTATCAATATGTGTAACGTTCAATATTTCTATATTTTCATCAGTTATTTGTTGTGAAGCCGTTAAAGCTAAATTCTCTTGACAATCAGTTAGATTTCCAGCTTGTGAAGTAGAAACTTTACTTTGATGGGTAACATCTGTCCCAGAAGTATTCGGTTTCCTTGAGTCATTAAAGTTGTAAAGTATGTAGACAGCGTTGGAGTTAATTTCAGCACAGCCATTTCTTTTTTCTCTTTTTTTTCGGCAGTTTTTAATTTTTCCCATCCTCCTTTTTTGTTTGACATTTTTCTATTCTATATTACTTTACCTTAACTCGCTGGAAAATTTAAAAAGTTAAAAAGGATCAATTCAAAATATTTAAATTCTAACTTTTAAAATATTTCATCCAATTTTTAATAAAATTTTATTTCATATCAAAAATTGCTTGTAATTCCTTACACTTACACTTTACACAGAGCGATCTAAAGATGAATTAATAATAAATTAACTTTCTAACTTTCCGTTAATAAAAGTTAAATAAAATTTAAAATTTTGAATTTCAATTTTACGCGTAAACCAGTAGATTGATTTTTCAAAAATCAACATGGACATATACATAAACTAATAACATATGCTGGAATTGGATAATTATCGCTTGCTACACCATGTAAATAAAGTTTCATAAATTAAAAAATTTCAATGTAATAAATATAAATATAATTTTTAACGGAATATGACACTATTAAATATAACGACAACAACGAAATGCGTACGTTTGAGCACAAAATTATTCGTCCAAAAATTATTGTTCTACGGGTAAAGGAACACGCAGACAATCGGTGATTCAAATGTTAATTATCGCCTACAGCCAGTGTGCATATGAACATGGACAATCCTAATTTTTTTTGGTGAAAACTATAGCTCTGTATTTTGCTTTTAAATAAGTGTAATGATAGAGACGTAATTTTTTTAAAACAAATGAAAAAAAAATTAAAATTTCATGTTGTCTATCAATTGTAACATGGTTCATTAAACACGCTTGTGACATAATAAATTAGGGCCGATTATTTGGCAGGGCCTAAGGCTATAGCCTTATTAGCCTAATGGTTGATCCGGCACTGCTTGGGAGTTTCGAAACTACCTTTTACCTTAGATCGAAAATAGAAAAAAAGCGGGCAAATTCATTGTTAATCAATTCCCAAGTTCACATGGTTAAGGCAAATGAGTTGAACCTGATTGATGTTATGAACGAATTTATATCCATAAATAAAAAGAAAAAAAACCTTTATGTAAATTTTTGTTCGCGTATTATTTTTGTTGCCGTAGAACCTTCAAAGGAACGCACATTTTACTAAATATGAAAATCCTCGTGTGCACGAGATTTTGCATAATTGAGGCCTGTAAAAACACAGAAACTCCATCCGCGTAGTCCACGTCAAGAAAGTTCGAATCAATGAAAAATATTTGACGAACTACATTTTTAGCGAAAACTTTGTGAAATGAAAGTAATCTTGCCCTCCCATTAATTCTAAGAAGTTGGCGCTTCTGAAATTTATAGATTTGTTCATTTCTCAAATCTCCTTATTAATAGGATATGTGTAATATTCGGCGAACAACATGTAAAGTTTCACTAGCATGTACGTTGTCGACCTCAACATAAAAACACCCAAAGCAGTTTCCGATGCTTGATTCTTCTCTGACAAGATAGAAATGGATTGATAATTTAAACATATTTTAATACATCGCTTATTGAATGTATTACAAACTTTAAAATCTTAATGGAAATGCTATGATTGTCAGGTGCATTAGAATTAGAAAATGAATTAACTATTTTTACTATTTCTTTTGAATCAGTGGAATGCATAAAAAAGAAGATGAATAGGAGCTATTTAGATACGATTTGTAAACTTTACCTATGGATGTTTTATCTGTTAAACTGGTTAATGAAATAATTATTAAGAACATTTGCTATTTCTTTGTTATCATTTATCATAACATTTTTTTTATTAAAGTAAGGTTAAAAGATGTTTATCTAGTGTTTAATAGTTTATTTATAAGTTTCCAATAAATTACAGTTGTTAAAAAAATTGAAGTTAAACAAAAATATTGTCTTTGAAAATTTAATGTTAAAAAATAAGAAATGTTTGAGTATAAGGGCTGCATAATATATAAATTTTAATTAAACAACAAAAAACATCCAAAAAATTTAAAGCACGTCGTGCTTCGCCCACACGGAATTATCGGAAAATGAAAATTTTTTTTACCTGTAAATTTGTATTTTATAGTACAAATATTTTCATAAGCTCAGCGTCTTTAATTGTCGAAATGTCGTTTTGTACGCACTAAGCAATTTCGGAAAGCCGGGTCTGATTCTGAGGTCGTTAAAAGGGGAGACGACGTAAGTTGTCGCATGCTGGCCGCGAGATGGCTCAGTGGTTCAAATGGGCGCTGAGTCAAACATCTCAATGGCTATCATATACTCTGCGTATATGATGCGGTGCTTGCATGTGTACATTGTGTGAAAAGGAAAAACAGCCTTTGTGGCGAAGATGACTGCTTCAAATCGATGCATGAAGATATGAAGAACATAATAAAAAGATTAAGTGGCAAGTGGTTCTGCGTATGTCCGAGAGCTGCAATAATAAAGACTATATATATATATATATATATATATATATATATATATATATATATATATATAAAAGTTACAATCAAAGTCACTGTAAAAACAAAGACACAAAGTCGGAACAATACTGTATAGGGTGGGTCAAAAAATTTTTTTTTAGTAAATGAATTCTAATAGCGAAATTATGTTGTAATAAGACATCATAATGAACCATCTAAAATATTATTGTATTATTTTGAGTGGAAGAGCCTGCGCAAATCCGATGAAGTTTTGTGGAAAAAATGAAAATACAGCCATTCAAAAAGCGTTTATATAAAAACAACGTGCTGTCACATTAAAAAAACAACGCTTTTTTGCTATGGTATCTTGCTCGTTGCTTAGTATTCGTTCAAATACATGCTGATTTTGGTATTTAAATTATGTCATTTATCCTAAAAACCATTTTTTGGCGGGAAATGCATCTAAATTTTTTTTGAAAATTCCGTTAATAGTTGTTTTTTTTTCTAAAATATTTAGTTAACGTTAAACCAAACATTAAAAAAATTTAAAAAAAGTTAGGTCGGAAATATGTATCACCAATTAACCGCCAGAAAAGTGATACTGTTAACACCCAATTTAAGATGTCAGAAAAGTGTTAATTTCATCAATAAATGGTGATTCAGATAAAAGTATTTCGTCAGCCGGAAAGTTGCACAAAATCAAGAAAAGCCCTTAACTTTTACCTCAAAAACTATGGAAAAAAAGAAGTGCATGCAAAGTTTACCGTTGTTGTCGCAATTATGGGACCGTTATGGAGTGTCTGATAGAAGCGGTGTTGCAATTGCTTCAGCGGTTTTACACAAACTTCCGTCGGTTGTCGTGGTTGATGAATCGTGACTGCAAAGAGTGAGAAATGCACCTGAATCTACCTGCTTTATATTTTGATGAACAAAAAGGTAAAACAGGTAAGTAGTTATTGAGGAACACCTATCTATCATTGAAGAACCGGATTCAATTTACTAAAAACAACTTTTAGAGGCCCTTGAAATAGATTATTTGCATGCTTCATTTGAATGAACTATTTTGTATGCTACACGTTGGAAACTAGCAAATTAAAGTTTTCTGCCAAGACCGTTATTGAGGTTTTAAGTTTGTTGTTGTCAACATTAACTTTAATTTAGGTTTCTTGCCACTTTTGATTGATTCCAAACTGAGCGTTACTTGCACTGGTTTATTAAATAATATTAAATAAATTGAACTTTTTCGAATTTTTTTTGTATTTTTTTTGTATTGAGATTTTTTGGCGCGAGCAAAACTAATAACAATAATTAACCAAAAATATGAACTAATAGTTTGTCAGTTTATTTACAAATTGAAGATAAAGTAGTTAATAAAAAATTCTACAAGTTTTTGTATAATTGGAGTTGAGTAGAACTTATTTTGACCAGCACAGACGAAAAAGGCCTTCTAGTGTAATTTTAAACAACTACTTTTCTATTTTCTTCACAAAATCAGAATCCGTCACACAGTGCAAGATAACATTACAAAATGAAAAAATAGGCAGTGCAAAAAAAGTTACATATGGTAAATAAAATAATGATTTTAGAAACTATTAATTAAATAAATAAATTAAAAAAAAAAATAATTATTAAAAAAATAAATAAAAACTTATAACATATTCCATAAAAAAAAATAAACAAAATTAAAGAAACTTTTTCGGTTCGGTCACGTTCATTTGTCGTTCTTCCAGTTTGCTTACCAAATTTATTTCTGAGCTATCTTCGGTTGACACTCCATTAATTGAGGTTTTTTCATAGAATGATTCTATTATTCTAATTATTTAAAATAAAAATCTCTTGAAGATAGTGACAATGGTTTTACAAAAATAAAACCTAAAAAGCGATCAAGAATCACACCGCCTCCACTTGAGAACCATTTGCTGTCAAAAGTTACCATTGGTTCTGGTGTATTCACTAATTCAAAATTATCCCTCAGCTAAGTTATTCATCGAAAGAAAATTTTTCATGTCAGTAACGTTTCAAGTTGTGTGGCCTCCTTATGATATAACATCTCAGATCGTTAAACAACATAGAGATATCTTGCTATCCTACTTTTAAAGAGAACTAATGATGTTAAGCCTGACGATTCGCGCCCATCCACACCATTACGATTTTGTGTGGATGCTAAATTCTCGGAGAAAAAAAATCCTACTTGAATAGATGACAATTTTTTGTTTTAACATTTAGAATCAACTTGCTTATTTTTTTTCTGTCTGTTAATACTAAACAATTTTTGTTTTATCGATGCAAACTGACACCATATTTAGGTTTGCCTGATTAGTTTTGTATATAGCAGCGCCTTTGAGTTTTTATAAAGAAATTTTTTTTATAATATATATATATATATATATGTTGGTAATAGACCATAATTTTTACAATATTCTATAAATTCTACCGAATGTTTGGCGTTAATATGTTTGTAGTTCGTTTTTTCGATTTTTCCCACTAAAGTTTTTTGGTGAACGTTTAGTTTATTAAAATTCAAAATAAACTTATTTTTCGAATTCATGCTGCAAATAAGGCCATATTTCGATTCCGAATGAATTATCATCAGTGCTCCTTGCTGTATATATAGGGAAATATTGACTTTGTCAAGATGAACTTTGACGTTGTAAAAATTAACTTTGGTGTTGTAAAATTGAACTTTGATGCGAATTAGGTGTCAGGTTTCTTTATTGGCTGG